GGTGTTTGGGATGTGGGGCTTTTCCATATCTGCTTCTCTTGGAAACTCCCTCCTAGCCTAGAATTTGGCGTTAGAAACACTACAACTCTTGTTATCACACACTGCGTACAAAAGTGACTGTGCTTCTAAGAGATACTTCCCAGACCACCAGTCCTAGATTTCAAGACAGAGATGGTACAAAAGACTCCTACCACAGTAATGCTTAGAATCTTGTTCTGAGTGGGTATTCAATTCTCCACACTCAATACAGATTTTATTAGTAGTTCTTCACTGATGTGTTTTTCCATTTATCTGTGGCACCTGCAATGTTTTGACTGATATTTTCCTGAATACAGTTTAGAACAGTTCTAGTTCAGTGGTTTTCAGAGTCTGGTTCCCAAACAGCAACATCAGCAAGATCTAATATTTGCTAGGAATGCAAATTCTAGGGTCCCTCCACAGACCTTCTTACTAAATCAGCAGCTCTAAGTAGGTCCCACAATCTCTGTTTTCACAAATACTCCATAGATTCTGATCTATGCTAAAGTTTGAAAATTGCTGCTTAAATTCAGTTTATTCATATTGTAGATTAGGAATTTAAGGGCCAGACATAAGTGACTTCTTCGATATATAACAAGTTCCTGTGAATATATTTATTAATCCATTTTGAGGGCAAAGTAATAATATAAAAAAATCAACAAGCTGTTTAATTCCTAAGTTTATCATAATATGAAAATTTTCCTTTATTATGTTCGCAAATTTTCCTTTATTATGTGCCTTCAATAAGTTTTAGAAGTAATGGCCCCATATTAAATCATCATAAAGGTCTTCAGTCTTGCCTTAACTGCATACCTTGCTTCAATCATAAATGCATGGTGTGCACGTATCTATGAATGTTTTCCAAAGCTCATATGGATAGGAACTGAAAAGTTTGTAATTAGCAATTAGGCCTTTTACAAGCTTCCTTCTGGGCTATATTTTATCTTCTCAATTTTTAAAGCTATTCTTTTTGTGAAGCAGAGGTTACTTTCTGTGAAGAAAACCTTCAGTTTAAAGGGTTTGGGCAATGCCGGCTGTGGTGGCACATGCTTGTAATCCCAGCTGTTGGGAGGCTGAAGCAAGAGTATTATCATGAGTTCGAGGCCAGCTTGGGCTACTGAGTGAGTTCAAGACCAGCCTGAATTAGAGCGAGACTCTGTCTCAAAAACAAAACCAAACAAAATAAAAAGTGGACAATACATATTTTGTGTATGTATTTATCCTTTTAATTGAATCTACTAATATATATAAACTTTACAGATCTAAGTGTTTGGTTTAATGATCTTTGACAATTTTATACACATCCATCTCACCATGATTCAAAACAAGATATAAAAATTCATCACTTACCAAATTCTTTAGCACCTCTTTGCAATCAATTCTTACCCTCTCACACTGAAACCACTTTCTGACTTTCATCACTACAGATGTATTTTTCCTGTTTTTAGATTCCAAAAAAAGGAAATCACAAAGTATGTTCTCATTTACATATAGTTTGCTCCTCACCCTTTTTTTGAGATTCACGTTGTGTATATCAGAGTTCTTTCTCTTTCTTTTTTCTTTCTCTTTCATTTTCTCTCTTTCTTTTCTTTCTTTCAGCAGCACTGGGAATTGAACCTCACACATGCTGGGCAAGTACACTACCAGTGAATTACATCCTCAGACCTTTTTAAATTTTATTTTGAGACAGGGTCTTGCTAAATTGCCCAAGCTGGTCTGGAATTTGCAATCCTCTTGCCTCATCCTCCCAAGTAGCAGGGATTGTACACCTGTGCCACCACACCCAGCAGAGTTCAGTCTTTTTAATTGCTAGTTAGTATTGCAATGTATGAATGTACAAAGTGTCTGTCCTACCTTTTTCTTAGTAATTAATACTTTTCTTATTACAAAAGCAATGTGTATTTATTGTGAAAAAATATCCAAATGAGGGAAAAAGGAAAATATCCATAACTCACTCTCCAGATATAACCACTACTACTAACTTGTATATCCTCATTGAGCTTCTGTTTACATAAACTGTCCACATAATTATTATCATACACTTACAAAAATTCTTATTTTAAGTTCAAGTATTACCATTTAAACCCAGATATAAGTGAGTTAAGTTGGCACAATCCTTAGTCTTAACTGTAATCTTTTCTCAATTTAAAAGAAAATAAAAAGCAATTCCTGAATTCATATTTATTGCTCAAATTCGTTATATACTGTATAGAAAATTTTAAAAAGTTGTTTAACACTTCCCCCGGGGGGCTGGGGATTTAGCTCAGCGGCAAAAGCACCTGCCTGGCAAGTGCAAGGTCGTGAGTTCGGTTCCCGGTACCGGAAAACAAAACAAAACAAAAAAAAAAACAACACTTCCCCCGACAGTTTTGTATGCTTCTCCATAAAAGTATTAACCAGTCTTGATGAAGATGATAATTGATGACTATGAAGTGCTGAATTTACTATCATAATTCTTTATTTAAATTTTGTTTTTAAATTTTTATTTTCAATTTTTGTTATCTATAGGTTACCAATATTTTAGTTGTAACTACCTTATTTTATAATATGAATGATCATGTTAGGACTAGTTCCATGTAACAACCACTTTGAGATCCAATTTTTAAATACTTTCTCTAAGAGCAAATAGTGTGTTATCTTTGCATTTTAATTGCTGAGTAGGAATATTAATATTCCTATCTATTTTTAGAAGTCAGATATGTATAGTTCTCTCCGGGTATCAGCCTTTACCTATGGCAAATATAATCTTCAATGTTCAGTTGGCCTTTAACTGTACTTCTAAACCAATTTACATATTGTCATTAAGATTTGAAGACTATTGGTCAGATATAAAGTATTATTTAGGGTCAAACTGCACTTGAAAGGCAGTTTGTTTCGTTAGAGTTCTCAATTAATGTCTTAACTTGCAGTTTTATGAACCTTTTGAGTCCCTGCTGCTTTGTGGGCAAGACGGGATCAGACAGGAGTGCCCAGGCAGGCAGTTTGTCTATCCTTCAGTTACTGTGAGTCCAGAAATGCCTTGCCTTTCGGGACATCACTATAGATTCCAAAGATTGTTGCTTATTTCTTATGACTTTGAAGCTCACAACCTAGAGTCAAAAATGCAGCTGTAGTTTTACCTGGAACTCTTATTTTTACATTGTTGCTTTTAGTGTCAATATGCACCTTTAGGTAAAATTACATATGCAAAGTTCTGTCACTCATTAATCCCAAACTCTGTCCCCCTGTGTGAGGTGTTAAAATTTTGTTTTGGTGATTAGAATACAATTTTAGGTGTAAAGGGCTCTACACTTTACTTTTTAAAATTCCATTACAATATTAAAATAAGAACAACAGCTATTATTTAGTTGGCTAAACACTGTTAAAGCATTTCTTCCCAATCGTCTCATTTAATCCTTAATAAGAAGTTTGGGGTTTATTATGAGCTCTCAATAAGGCATCTGGATGTCTCCAGGCATGGGAATGTGGCTCTGCCCTGGGGATAAGGTTCACAAATATTTAAGACTACTACTGCCCTTATCCCCCAAAGCCAAGTTGGTGAAATTTAGCATTATTATAAATGGGAACCTGATGCTCTAGGGACTTGCGTGATTGCTGAAGTCATTGTTCTTCCTGTCTGGTATCTGCACGCCTCTCAAGCCAGGAAGAGAATTCCTTATCAAAATTATCTGTGACACCTACATTCTACCCAGCCCAAACTCCAGCTTCCTTCCTCTTTGTGTGGATTCCAAGTTGTCTACCTAACGGTGGGAGAACTAACAACTGTAAACTGTTAACAGGTATTAACTAAAGTGTAATTCTGATGAGGGCACAACCCCCAGCTCTCCCGACTCCTGCTCAGAAAAGCTAAGTCTTTTGTGTTGTTTGTCTACCCTCCTCAGCTCTAAAAGGACTGCAGTCTACTTAAGCTTCAAAGAGAATTCCACGACAGTCTTCTACGCCCAGGTGGCTCCATTCTCCTTCTCTTCTATTATTTAAAAAATCTTGATTAGCCAGATGCATTCACATGGTGTTTGCCGCACTCTTACTTGGGCGACTGTGACTTTGACACCCCCACCCCCCCAGCTTAAAACAGGGCAAATCCCCGAAGGTGCTAATCTTAAACCCCTCCCTCGACACTGAAGGGAAAAGCACCGCCTTCTCTTCCCTGAAATGCCCAATAGCAGTGGGAAGGGTTGACCTGGCTTCTGAAGCCCGCCTTACCTGCCCTCAGGAGTTACCAACCTTCCCCACCCTCCTCAGTGGCCTGGGGCCCTCGGGCCGGGACGCCACGGGAGGGCGAGGGGAGGCGGGGCTGCGGCGGGGCAGGGCGCGCGGCGGGGCCTCGCGGTGCTGCCGGGCTGCTCCGGCCAGGGTACGTGGCACTGCTCGAGGACAGCGGGGGAGGGGAACTCGGCTTTCGCCCCTTCGCAGCAGCCCCGGGACGTCAGGCAGGGGCGAAGCGATCACAGGCAGGATCGAGGCACAGTGCTGGCGAGATCTCAGCCGACGAAAGCGTCCCGACGCGCCCTCCACTTCGCACCCACTCGGCCCGCACCCCGCGGCCAGGTCCGCATTCGGCCGCCCGCAGCGGTGACCGGATAGTGCCCGGGGACAGCTGGCAGCCCGCATGCGCAGAACAGGAGCCGCGGGCGGACTACAGCTCCCAGAGGAGCCTCCCCGGGCTGCGGGCGCCCGGCCGCCGGCGCCATCTTGAAATCTGATGCTCTGTCTCCCGGCTTTGCGTCAGCCTCGGGCGGCCGCGGGAGTCCGAAAAACCCAGCCTGCTTCCCTGGGAAGACGCCTAGGACGCGACGGCTGGCGGGGAAGACAGCTGTGAGAGGCATGGCAAGGTCCGAGCGCAGCTCGCGCCGCGGTCCCTGAGCATCCCCGGGAGGCGACTCTGCGCCCGCGCCCGGCCCGAGGGGCGGGGCTGACGCCGTGGTACCCGGCGGCGCGCGGGGCCGAGGCGCCCTGCAGAGTGGGCACCCCTCCGGGCGCTGTCGCTGGCTGGGGGCCGCCGAGGCGGGGGCCGGGCCGCAACCCAGAGCCCGTGCGCGGTCACCCGGCAGCCTCGGCCGCCGCTGGAAGCGAAGATGAAGGAGATTTGTAGAATTTGTGCCCGGGAGCTGTGTGGAAACCAGCGGCGCTGGATCTTCCACACGGCGTCCAAGCTCAACCTCCAGGTTCTGCTTTCGCATGTCCTGGGCAAAGATGTCTCTCGCGATGGCAAAGCCGAATTTGCCTGCAGCAAGTGTGCTTTCATGCTCGATCGGATCTATCGTTTTGACACCGTTATCGCCCGCATTGAAGCCCTTTCTATCGAGCGCTTGCAGAAACTGCTCCTGGAGAAGGATCGCCTCAAGTTCTGCATCGCCAGCATGTATCGGAAGAATAACGATGACTCTGGCGCGGAGACCAAGGCGGGGAGTGGGACGGTTGACATTTCCGGCTTACCCGATGTGAGGTACTCTGCACTGCTCCAGGAAGACTTCGCCTATTCGGGGTTTGAGTGCTGGGTGGAAAATGAGGATCAGATGCAGGAGCCTCACAGCTGCCATGCTTCAGAAGGCCCTAGCAACCGACCCAGGAGATGTCGAGGTTGTGCAGCTTTGCGGGTTGCTGATTCTGACTATGAAGCTATTTGTAAGGTGCCTCGGAAAGTAGCCAGAAGTATTTCCTGTGGGCCTTCTAGCAGGTGGTCTACCAGCATTTGCACTGAAGAACCTGCATTGTCCGAGATTGGGCCCCCGGACTTAGCAAGCACGAAGATGCCCCCAGATGGAGAAAGCATGGAGGAAGGAACACCGGGTTCCTCTGTGGAGTCTTTGGACGCGAGTGCCCAGGCGAGTCCTCCTCAGCAGAAGGAGGAGGAAACTGAGAGAAGCGCGAAAGAACTTGTGAAATGTGACTTTTGTTCAGATGAACAGCCTCCACAGCATATGTGTAATCATAAGTTGGAGTTAGCTCTTAACATGATTAAAAGTCTTGATTATAAGCCTATCCAGAGCCCCCGGGGGAGCAGGCTTCCTATTCCAGTGAAATCCAGTCCATCTGGAACCAAGCCTGGCCATAGTATGACAGATGGAGTTTGTTCCACTTTCCTTAACAGGGCTTTGAACAAGACACCTCTGAGTTATCCCTTGGAGATTTCAGACCTTCAGGAGCTGTGGGATGATCTCTGTGAAGAGTATTTGCCACTCCGGCTTCAGGTATATCAGATGGCTTCACCGTGCTTTTCTAATTAGAGCGAGCTGGCCCTCAGGCTTCACAGGATTTCACATGATTTCTTTCTGTCTAGATTTGAGAAAATGAATCATTGAGCCCATTTTGACTATCATTTCCTTTTCTGTCTCGTTTAGTTAAATCATTTACACTCAGATAATTTGTTTTTTACAATTGTGTTTGTAATGTTACCAATTGGGTTTCCTGTTATCGAAATTGTCTACCTTTTAAGGCAAACAGTTTCCCAGTTCATTTTTCTCGTATAAAAAGAAGACATTTAATTTCATTACTAGCACTAGAACTTTGCCTCTTGCCACCTTTTCATTTTCCCCTCCTATTTGTTTTAGTTTTAGACTTATAATTTCTCCTCTGGCGTTCTATAAGGAAGTTGTCTAGTTCTTGCAGCATTAAACCTCCCATTCCCAGAATGCAGCAAAATAATTAAAACATAAGGTAAAAGTTTGGGGAAAACCTACTATTCACCAGTAAAGCCCTATGACTTCTGGACATTATTATAATGAATATATCATTTGAGGATTAATGGTGATTTATTCATAGAAGAGTCTTAGGAATTCAAACAACATCACTGAAAATGTTAAGATGAAAACTGTATGGCTAGTTTTTCTTATAAACTCTATTAGAATATATTTGGTATTAAGAGTCACCCATTATTCTTTTTTCACCCAAATAGTCACCCATTACACTTTTTGCTTTCTTTGTTTTATGAACATATAATAACAAGATGAGAGAATAACAATAGTTAGTACACTGTGTATCATTTTCAAAATAAAGTGCAAGACATAAACCATAAACTTTCTTACAAAAAAGAAACAGACGAACTAAGATAAATTGGGAGTATAAATGAAACAAATTAGCATATATGTTGAAGTATTTTTGAAACAACAGAATATGTAATTTGGAGAAATATTTGAACTTCTCCCTACTTCCTATTTATCTCTCTTCTATTTTGCTCTGTTTTCTTAATGACTAGAGAATTGCATTTGGTCCTAGTTTGAACTCATTTCTGTCCGATTGATTACAGACCACCGTTCTAAATTCATCTATATAAAGGGACCTGACAGATGCTGTTTTGTTTCCATATCAACAGTAAATGGTAGGTTCGACTAACTTTGAAAAACCTGGCACATTCCATTTGATACAAATTATTTAGTGGTACCATTGTAAAGGTGGACAATATAGAAGGTATTTTGGAGAAGTCTGGTACTGATAAACCTAATTTCAGAAATTTAGAGCTTCATAATATGAAATTGTTGATTGTCACATGAAATTTTTGACAAATATTTCTATTGTATATAAACTTGGTATCACTATAAAAATTTAAACAGAAAATAGGAAGCCAGTACTATAGAGCAGGTATAAACTATGGTAACTATAACTGTAGTCAAGTCCCTTTACCTCACTAACTTTGGACATTAGAACTTTAAAATAATAGAATTTGACCTATTTGCTGTCACTTGGCTTACATTTTGTAGAATAATAAAACACTAAGATGAAGGAGAAAATAACATTCAACTTCAAGAAACGTTTCATTACTATGCTATGTTCTGTAATAATTGAGGATGTAGGAGAACAGATAATAAATTGGGCACAAAATGTTTGTAAATAAAATATATATTTTAGTCTGGGCACTTGATCTGTAAATAAAATATATATTTTAATCTGGGCACTTGATCTGTAAATAAAATATATATTTTAATCTGGGCACTTGATTTGTAAATAAAATATATATTTTAGTCTGGGCACTTGATCTGTTTACATCTGACAGCCTTTTAAGCTCCTTAAGAGCTATTATGCTATAGGACAAAGCCCCAGCTAGGTGACCTAGACATATTGGTTGTTTTTTTGTTTTTTGGGGTGTTTTGTTTTTAGTTCATAGAAAAAAACAGGGTGAAAGAAAAATTTTTCTTTAGTTAAATTATACTACAAATCGGAAGAGAACCTGTTATTCTAAAAGATGAGATTGTTCTGTTAGGTGATTTTGATTCCTTTGTTTAATCCTTCACCTCCCTCATCGTATGTACTGTTAGCTATCGATATAAGGATTCTTCCTGATTGCTTGCCTTTCCTGTGTTTCCCTTCCTTCTTCCCTTCTCTCCTTTGTTCCTTTTTTGTTTTCTGTTTTGCTTTGCCCTTTCTTCCTTCCTCCTTCCTTCCTTCTTTCTCTTATATTAAAGAATAGTATGTATTTCTCCTGGTTGCTGCTTTTCTGATATTGTGCAAAATTATTTATTTGCCTTCAGTAAAATTTATGTCTAAAGACCCAAGGCTTTTCAGATACAATAAAGAAAGGTTTGAAGCCTTATTCTATAACTTCCTTCTGTATTATCTGGCCCCAAAGTAGAAGAACTATGGTAGCAGGCATGTGGTCCCTTAGTAAACAGCAAGTCAGAGAAACCTGGCCCATTCCCTTCTAAAGTCAAAGAGCAGATCTTTGCTTCCAGCTTTGCAATGCCAATGTCTGGTCGTTTGTCATTGTAATAAAACATCCCCCTCATAGTTTAGCGGTATTAAGTCATTTAGGCGTTTGGAAAGTGTAGCCATTAGTACTGCTCATAGACTAGGCCTTTAGTTTTACACTAGGTGACGGTTCTTGTTTGTCTTCTATTAAAACAGAATGAAAAATTACCACAGTTTGAGATCTGTGACTCACTGTTGTGAGGACTAGATCAAGCCAAGAAAATACTGTTAACTGAAAAGACCTAGATAACTTACAGTCCAACATTAGGCCTCAAAGAAATTCCCTTTTTCTGATGCTGGGTCAAAACTGACTTAGTATAAATTACATTATCATAACGACGTGATCTTAGTAGCTAAAAATCTGAGGAATAACACTAGTTCTACCAAATAAAGATTACTGATTTTAGGCTCTAATGATTGGTTTATGTACTTTGTACTTCACAATTCATTATGATTTCTTGACTCACTGTAACTAAGTGCTCTTTTGCCAGACCGCTATTTGAAAGGACATTTTTCTGATATATAAAATAATAAATTATTGTAAATGAAGAAACAAACATCATCCAGCTTTTAAATTAATGCATTATATTGGTGGAATTAGTCTTCCTATGACTTCATGGTAAGATGTGTGCAAATAAGATCCAGGTTCATAATATACTTTGCTGTGGCACTCTATGGCTTTAAAATTACTGTTCTTATGTATGTGTGTATGTGTGTTCACATGTATTCGTGTGTATATGATCTTATATCTAAGAGAGTGAGGGATCAGAACATTGGACAGGGAATTGGGGGACAGACCTTTTTGTTTTTAGTCTTATTCATTTATTCATTCAACAAAAACTTTTGATCCTGAAGTGTTCCTGGCATGGTAAGAAGTGGGTTTATACAAATAAAAGATACCAATTTGAGTGCATTCAGTTTAATTGAATCCTTTTCCCTATTTCCTGTGTAAACTAGGACAAATTACTTACCTTCTGTAAGTTTGTTTCCTTGTATGTATAATGGAATAGGAGCAGCTGGTTAGTTTATAAATTTTCCTTCACAGCACTGATTCTTTGGTTTGAAGTAAATGAATAAGTATGTCTGCCTTGCCTCCCATTTTAATCATGAAGCTATTTTATTTAATTTTGCTTGTTATAGTTTAAATTTCAAAATATTTTATAGTAGATGTTATAGAAAATGTATTTTACATTGATGAAGTAAGTAAAATGCCATTTTATAGAGAATGTTTTACCATTATATTAATGATAAATTTATCAGTCAGATTTATAAATATCTATTAAAACCATTCTATCTCTCAATGGTGTGATACAATTCACATTATTTCAAGGGCTTCCTTTATGCTCATAACAACAAATATCTTAAGTAATTTTTCTAGGAATCAGTATCCTTTTCTTTCTCTCTCCCACCATCTAGTCTGCCAGCAACTCTTGTTAACTGTACTTTCAAAACACATCCAAATCCATCCACTTATTCCTTCTCCATTACCACCACTAATAACCAAAGCTTCAGTTATCTTTCACTTGCCCTCACTAGCTTCCTCACTGACCTCTCTATTTCTGCTCCTGGTTCCCACAGATCATCATCCAAGAGCAGCTGGAGTCATCTTTTGAAAATTCATATATATGATTTCTATTTATTTTTGTTTTGTTTTGCCTTTTTGAGACAGGGTTGTGCTATGGAGTTCAGACGGACCTTGATCTCATTTTGTAACCCAGCTGACCTTGTACTCACAGTCATCCTCCTGCCTCAGCCTCCAGAGTAGTGGGATTACAGGCGTGCGCCACCATGCCCAGATGATTTCTTTCTTTCTATCTATCTATTTATTTATTAATTTTAAGAGAATTTAAAAAACAAATACCCTACAGAATTTCAAACCAAGATAGGAAATTAACAATGGTTATTATATTGCATATTGTTATCTTCAAAGTAGTTGCTCAGATATAGGCATGTAAGATTGATCAAACAATATAAACACTAACTGTTCCTTTCAATGAACTAATAGAAATTAGTAGTACAATTAGCTATCTTGCATGTGTGTGTGCATATATATATGTATTTTTATATATATATATATATATATATACACACACACGTTCTTTTCTCCTTTCCCCCATCCCAGTTGATTTCTGTTTAAAAACACTGCAATCCATTCTTATTTCAATTAGAATGAAATCTGATTTTTTTAGCTCTGCTGTATGAGGATTGTGTATGACCTCACCCCTGTCTACCTTTCTACTTTGTTTCACTGTGCCCTTTTACCCATTTCACTCTTGCCCTGAGCTATCCAGTAAACCAGCCTCCAGCTAGCTTTATGTTACTATTTAGCACTTGAAATGTGGTTAGTTCAAATTGAGATGTGCTGTGAGTATAAAATATGTAGTACCTTGAATTTTAGAAAAAAACTAAGTAGTTTTTATATTCATTACATATTTGTAATATTTCTGGATGTATTAAAATATCAGAATTAAATGCATTTATTTTTTAATCATCCTGTGAAGCTACTAGAAAGTTAAAAATTATACACATGGCTCACGTGGCATTTCACTTGGAAAATGTCCTTCCACAACATAGTCCTTTCTCAGATTCCATTAGCTCTTGCCTCTGTCAGGTTGATCCTTTGCTGGTCTTTGTAGGGCTGGCTCCATTTCATTCAGATCTCCATTTAAATGCTATCTCATGCAGACTTTCCGCTGATCAGTATGGTGTAACTTAAGCAGCCACTCTCTGTAATGCTTTCCTATTTAACTGCAGAGAGCTCATCACTATTTTACATCGTATGTATTTGTTTTTGTATTATGTTTGAACAGAATAATGACTTTGTTTGACCTCCAGTGCTTCATCTCTAGAACAGTGCCTACCATAGAGCACTGGCCAGGTACATATTGAGAGACAGAATGAATGAAATTAATGGTTGCTGTACTAGTAAATGGTACTCAGTAGACATAAGAAAGACCAATGAGTCCTTTTCACTCACATTTCTGTGTAAATAAGCAGTGAGGTCTAGGCTCTAGAGGATGATGTCAGAACTCTAGGTTCTTTTACAAGCTGTTCCATCAGCTTGTCAAAATCTTCATGATTATTTTCATTTCCTGGCAGTACTCTGTAATATTTCTTAATACCACTTTCCTATTTTTGCCTTTTAGAATTTTGAAATTTTTGAGTTGCCAAATAGTATAGTAGGGGAAAACAGACTTTACTAGCTTTTCGGAAATAGGAATGGACTTATAAAGAGGACAACAGAATATCCAGCTTTGCTTAGGATAGTTATACTTGTTATCCTGATATAATTATTACATGTGCCCTTTCAAGTCCTAAAAGTGGTTTGATGTGATTGATAATAAATTATATGGTTACTGTAAAGGTAATAGAGGTCAGTATTTTGTATCCATTAGCACACTCTACTCCTATCCCTCTTTTTAGATTTGGGGTAATTTCTTTTCCTTCAGATCAGATGCAGGGCTTACACATTCCTCTGTGCTCAACCACCAAGCTTTACCCCCAGGCCCTATCCAGGGTAATAGTTTGTCTCTTCCAAGAGCCTTTCCCGTGTTCCTGTTGAAATCAGTGGGAGCATTTCCATAGTATAAGAGAAGTACAGAGAATTCCCATATACCCCTTACCCAGATTTACTAGTTGCTGATATTTTGTACATTGTTTTACCATTTTTACTTTGCTCTAAGAACATTATCAGTATCATTGTGGTACTGGGGGTTAAATCCAGGGCCTTTGTGTTAAACTACATCCCCACCCCATTTTAAATTACTGAGTCACTAAGTTTCTCAGGCTGGGGTCAAACTTGTGTTCTTCCTGCCTCAGCCTCCCAGAGTGCTGGTATTACAGATGAGCACCATCATACCTTGCTTTTTAAATTCCTGAACCATGCAAGAATTAGCTGTAGCTATTATACAACTTTATTGTAAATACTTCTGCATATATTTCCTGAACCCATGGACATCTTTCACCAACTACAGTATAGTTAACAAATTTAAGAAATTTAATGTTGATAAAGTAGTATTATCTAATACATAGTCCATATTCAAAATCAGCCAGTTTTTCCTGTAATATGAGTAAGCATTTTGGAAGAAAGGTAACTGGAATAATGTCTAACTTCTTTTCAAAGTTTAATCCATATGCATTTTCAATTCTCTGATTAAAAACAGTATAAAGCAAACATTTAATCATTATAAGCATTTCCTTATTAAAACTTCCTCTTCTCTTCACCCCCACCTTCTCTTTAGCCTTGGATTAGGTGCTGTTGTGCGAGTGGGTTAGAAAGCATACTAAGGGTAGAGGTGAATCAGTCCTCTTACCAAGGAACAGGACTATTTCAGCAAGTCATAATGATAAAAATTGGTGCACAGCTCTGCTTTTCTAAATCTTGGGCAAAGCTATAGACATTTAAACATAAAACTTACTGTTGACTGCATTTAACTCAACTTGTCTTTTTGCTTTTTTATAGTCAGTGCCCGAAGAGTTACTCAGACAACAAATGCAGAATTCAAATGAGACCACTACAAGTGCGCAGTCTGTATCTGACTCCCATTTGGCAGCACTTCAAGAAAAAATCCAGCAAACAGAGGCCACCAACAAGGTACAATCAGTACTGTGCACTTGAAGTTTTCCTGAGGATGTGACCGGCTCTGTCCTGAGTGTTACACTGAGTAGGACTTGGGAGATGATAGCTGTGGACTCAGTGCTTTACAGAATATTTCCCTCAAAACTATAGTTCTTTCCTCTCTCATGTAGATTTTAGCTGTATATTCATGGGTCAGAATTTCTGGTGTTTTTGGTTGTTTGATTAAAACTTGTATGCAGTCTTAATTGTGTAAGGCACCAAGACAGGAAGTTTTTGATTATGACTTTAGCTTAACTTCTCACTTGTGGATTATAACATTTACTTAGAAAAAAATTAACAATCTAGGATGCTAAGCTTCTGGCTTTGTGTGCTCATGTAGTATACTGTTCTATGCTAGTTAGCTAAAGCTTCTTGAGCTTATGTAAAGGATCTACAGTGACTCATGTGAATAGCTCCATCATAGAGAAAGCACAGTGAGTGAGAATTGAGTCCACAAGTATTGAAGGAAGTATCTCATATTTCCTATTACTTTCTCTTTTTGGTTGGCTGAAAACTTAAATGGTTACTGTATGTAGAAAAAAATAACAAGGCAATGTTTCCTAAGGAGTTCGTCAAATTATAGATTGGAGAAAGGACTTTTGGTTGCATTTAGGGTTAAAACATATCATTTCACCCAACAAACCTTTTTGCTGTTGTTCTGAATTCAGATTCTTCAAGACAAACTGCACGAAATGAGCTGTGAACTAAAATATGCTCAGGAGTCATCTCAAAAGCAAGATAGCACAATTCAAAACCTCAAGGAAACTCTGAAAAGCAGGGAAAGTGAGGTAAAACATTTAGGAGTCACAGACCTGTGAAGAAATGATTTGTTCCATGAATGTAGATGAATATTCTATATTTTGTAGAAATTAATTATTGGCATAATAACAAATATCAACTGGGAAAAGTTTGGGCACAAATAATGGGATTTATTTTCAGTTTACTAACATGCTTGGTGTTTGCACTCTTTTTTTTTAGACTGAGGAGTTGTACCAGGTGATTGAAAGCCAAAATGACACAATGGCAAAGCTTCGAGAAATGCTGCACCAAAGCCAGCTCGGACAACTTCATGTATGTGAGGGTCACAGAGAGAGGGGAAACTGCAGTTGGGCATGTGTCTTTCTCAGCTGCAGTCTTAATTTTGTGTTCATAGTCCTTTCGGTACTTGGTTTTTGCTGTTCTTGTCATTATGATTTCTGCTGTCTTCTCAGACCTCTGAGGGTACCTCTCAAGCTCAGCAACAGGTGGCTCTGCTTGATCTTCAGAGTGCTTTATTCTGCAGCCAGCTTGAAATACAGAAACTGCAGAGGTCAGTAAGACAGAAGGAACGCCAGCTGGCCGATGCCAAGCGATGTGTGCAGTTTGTGGAGGCTGCAACACATGAGAGAGAAAAGCAGAAGGAGGCTTCTTGGAAACATAACCAGGTAAATCATTAACCATTTTGTAGCCCTCAGTGCTGACTTTGCCCTGACAATTGCTTTTTATCAGGACAGTTGGTTTTGAACTGGAACCCTTGATTACAGTATTTACTGAATCGGAGTATAATTCACTGCAATATTTGTTAGCTTGTTTCATTTGTTGAATATTGGCCTGTGTCCTGAAAATTCAATGGAAAATACCACAGGCTCTTTCCTCTTAAGTTACTTGTAATTTAGTATGAGAAATGGTCACATGACCAGAATTAGAGTATGGTTAATACTAGAGAGTTATGCTTAGGGTTCTAAAGGAATCTCTGGGTGGGGCTGAGAAAGGGAATCAAGGAAAGCGTCATGAAAGACACAGTATCTCAGGTTATTCTGGAAGGGTGGGGTAAAAGTGAGCTGTACAGAAAAGTGAGCAAGAATGTCCAGGTCAAAGGAATGATACACACAATTAGCCATGTGATTTTTAAGAATATGCATAATTTAAAAATTGTTCCTTTATCTTGTTATCTTACAGCATATGGCTTTTTTCCTTTGCCTGTAAAATACTCAGATTTAAAACTAATTTTTGAAGCGTCTCCTTTGTTTAATACTTTGAAGGTTAAATATTATTCCTGAATTCCCCTAGAAATATTAAAATTTTCGTGATTTGGAGGGTTGAGGAGTGATGGAAGGATGAGAATGGAAATAATTCTTAACTTTTTGTTGTATACTTAAAGGAAACATGTCCTAAATTTTAATTGACAAATATTTTGGAGAGTATCTAAAGTAACAGTTTAAAAATTACTGATTTTATTATTAGAAAAATACTGCATATGGCAAATTAAGAAAATGAATTGATAGAGCCTTCATGAGTTCTTTAGAAAAGATGGCAGAAATAGTCTACCCTTAAGCTTATTTTAAAGGATTTAGGTTTATAGTAGAGCAGAGCCCTGCTTAGTAGAGCTATTTTTTTAACAAAAAAAATAAGTATTGATCTATAAATCAAACTTATTTCCTACCACCATTCACAGTTTTTATAATTTCCTATATTCAGCTCCAGCTAATATGTAATATTTCTGTGGCAATTTTAATGATGTTGCTTTCTAGTTCTTTATATTTCGTTATGTCTTGAAAGTTTTAAGATCTCTATATCTAATGACCAAATGAAATTTTAGATTGCTTTAAAAAGTGAATGTTTCAATTCAGGAATTGCGAAAAGCATTGCAGCATTTACAGGGAGAATTGCAGAATAAGAACCAACAGCTTCGTACCCTGGAGGCTGAAAAATACAATGAGATTCGAACACAGGAGCAAAACATTGAACATTTAAACTGTAGTCTGAGTCATAAAGAGCAATTGCTTCAGGTGAGTTTACATGATCTCAATAAAAGCTCTGACATTTCTGTTCATATATCCTTAAGGTGTTAATCACTTGTGTTGAATATTTGCTACAAGTAGAACATTGAGTGGTGGAAATCAGGAAGATTAAAAAAACAGAAAATATAATCCATGAATAAGATGCTGATCAGTAAGTAAGAAACAATACAAATAGGCTGGAAAGACAAACAGTATTCAACAAATGGTTACTAAGTACCTTTGTGAATCAAACACTGTACTACAATAGGGATTGGGAAGACAAAGAGATTTGGCTACTTCTGTCAGTCTAGTAGGACATGACATTGGTATAAACTTTCATAGAGTTAAGTGCTAGAATGAAAGTTTTAGGGTGAAATGGAGCACTAAGAAGAGTAATCAGTTTTGCCTACTACTCTAAATTTTACATAAAATCCCTTACATTTTGCTGAGTGCATCATTTTTTCATAGCATATATATATTGTGTATGTTTTTTTTCCTCTCTGACGGATAATATATCATCACCATCTCTACCTTTGGGAAGTCTTAGTTATTTAAGATTGGTGGCAGATATTATCTCCTTTGTAAGGTCTTTACTGACACTTTTAGGCCAAGTCAGGTAACACACCCTATATTCTTTTTTTTTACCCGGTACCAGGAATCAAACTCAAGACCTCACGCTTGCCAGGCAGGCGCTGTGCTGCTGAGCTAAATCTCCAGCCCCCAAACCCTGTATTCTTAAAGCTGGCTCATGTGCATGGTAGTGTGTGACTAAATTGTTAATTTTATGTATTATGTAAATTGAATATTGCAGGCTAGCTAACAATTTACATGTCTCTTATCTCTGCTAGACTTGTTTCCCCTGAGAAAAATGATCATTCTTGTTTTTATTCTGAATAACAACGTAGTTGGCAAAATATAGGAATTCAGTTAGTACTGGATAAGTAAAGAGAAGAAAATATTTTTTGGACTTATTAGGAATTTCAGGAGCTCCTACAGTATCGAGATAATTCAGACAAAACTCTTGAAGCAAATGAAATGTTGCTTGAGAAACTTCGGCAGCGAATACAAGACAGGGCTGTTGCTCTAGAGGTATGTAGCATAACTTTATTCACTATGCTCTTTCTACATAGATATATTAAAATTTATGTCTACTTAATTTTTGCTTTGGGGTTTTGGTTTTCTATTCCTTCACATTTCGAATTTTATTGAAGAAGGGTGATGAGGATGGTGAATCTTTTGAAGTTCAGGACCTTTATTTTCCTTACAGCGGGCTATAGATGAAAAGTTCTGTGCTCTCGAAGAGAAAGACAAAGAGCTGCGTCAGCTTCATCTTGCTGTGAGAGAGCGAGATCATGACTTAGAGAGACTCCGTGGTGTCCTCTCCTCCAACGAAGCTACCATGCAAGTAAGAGCAAAATTATCATTGATTGATATTTCTCTTTTACTTACATTCTAAGCTTGAAGCATCAGCCTCCTCCCTCATTTTCTGAAAGCCAGAGTATTTTCTTTTATAAGAAAAAAAATACAAATAAAAAATAGTATTCACGAATTCCATCATTGTAGTCTTGGAAGTGAGAGATTTTACCACTTCTGTTTTCATTGATATTATGAACTTTGTAGGGAGAAGCAATGAATATTGATATCTAGTTCCATAATCCTAGTTTATTTCTAATCTTTTTCTATAGATACACACCCCCACTTATATACCTTTTATATACTCATTGCCTGGGTGCAACTGTTGTGTTTTTCTCATTAATATATACATGTCCATGTAATGGCATGATTAGAGTACTTATTTTATTAGTATTTACCATAGATTTTTTTGCATACTTGCTATAGACTTATGTAAGTAACTATCTGTCAATTTTTAAAGAAGTCATTTGCTTTCTCTGTAGAGAGTAATTCTTCCAAAGTGCTTCATTTTATCATATACTTACATTTTTCTCTCCACAAACTAGATAAAAATTTCTAAAATTACAAAATAGATTGGTATGGTAGATTAGATGCTCAATTTTTGCCTCTTGCAAAAAAGTTGATAGGTGATAATTTACAAGTATATCTGGTCTATTGTGTCTCCTGAGGAACATGGGTATGCCTTGACTTATGGTTGCTCTCTTTGTGACTGTAGAGCATGGAGAGTCTCTTGAGGGCCAAAGGCCTAGAGGTGGAACAGTTAACCGCTACCTGTCAGAACCTCCAGTGGCTGAAAGAAGAAATGGAAACCAAGTTTGGCCATTGGCAGAAGGAACAAGAGAGTATTATTCAGCAGTTACAGACATCTCTGCATGACAGAAACAAAGAAGTGGAGGTAAGACTTCAGTTAATTTAAATACAGTTGGCTTAGTGATTTTATAATCTTAGCCTTGAGTTAAGAATCTTGAGGTCTAGGAGACCAGTGACCCAAGTCTTTAAAAACATTTGTGTACTTGGACAAGTCATTGATTTTCACTAGAACTCGTACCCCATAAACTTGAGATGACAGTTATCTTTCTCAAAGAAGTTACATGAGGCTAGGCATGTAGCTCAGCGGCACATGCCTACCTGGCAACCACAAGGTCCTGAGTTCAATTCCCAGTACCAAAAAAAAAAAGTTATGTGAGAAATAATTAGATCTAAAAAATACATCTATAATATGATTACTAACCTTTATTATTTATAGTGCTTATGCTGGTTCAGGTACTGTTTTAAGAGCTTAATGGATATTAACTTACTGAGTCCTCCCAAGTTAATGAGGGAGATACTGTTATCCCTGTCTTACAAACAAGGAAACAGACCTCTAAAGGTAATTTGCCTCAGGTAAACATGCTTACTTTGCTAAGTAAGTGGCAAAACCCGTATTCAACCCAGACCGTATGGCTGCAGAGTTTTAACTACCACGTACTGGTGCTTACTATAAAAATAAGATCTACATTACCCTGCTGATATGGATTTTGGTTTTCTTTTTTAGCTTATCATTTCGTATTTCCAGTAAAAATTATAGTAAGGAGATAATAAATGAAATAAATGAGCTGAACATCCATTTGCTCTCATCTAACATTAATTGTTATATCCTCTGAGCAAATGGGAGAAAGGACTTATTTCAGAGAACAATATGTAAGTTTCTCTACTGTTAGTATTCATTTACTGAACATGTATTTCCAGCCTTCTGTGTCACAGGCCAGTGCTAGATCTGGGAAAACAAGCATGAATACCACTTGATATTATCCTCAAGAACTTCATAGCTCTTTCTTCTATGACAGGTCCTTATAAGCCCTTTGACATGTACTAGAAGAAATTCCTTTTTCCAGAAACTTACATTACTTTCTCTGCATTAGGATCTTAGTGCAACACTGCTCTGCAAACTTGGACCAGGACAGAGTGAAATAGCTGAGGAGCTGTGCCAGCGTCTGCAGCAAAAAGAAAGGATGCTGCAGGATCTTCTTAGTGATCGGAACAAGCACACTATGGAACATGAAATGGAGATTCAGAGCCTGCTTCAGTCTATGAGCACCAGGGAGCAGGACAGCCAAGTAAGGACTATGCCCAGACCAGAAAAGCATCACTTGTGTCATGTTATATCATTATACAGTCAACTCTGTGGTTCTTTCCTTCTATTTCCTTCTTAAAACTAGACTACAGTTTTACATCAAAATATGTAAGATTTTTTGAACACTGTTTGGAAGTATGCTTAAATAATAAATGTATTCATTAAGTTTATTATGTGCATTTGCTTTTTCTTAATGCTCTGATCATATTTTAGAGTTCTGGAGTATTTTACTTTTGTTTCTAAATTACAAAGGCTAGAGTAGTAGTTTATATTTATAGCCAAGATTTGTAAAAACTACACTTAACGTATATTCTTATTTCTTGTAAAATCCAGGTTACGTTTAGGGGAATAAAAGATCATATTTTTCAAAGGCCATGATGCGAATGAATAATCTTGCAATATTATGGGATACATTAATGTCCAAAAATGGTACATAGCTATTTAAGAAGGAAATTGTTGTTTTTTCCTCATTTTCATTTATTTTTTTCCCCTCAAGGCCAAAGGATGCTAGTTGTACTGCATTTCAGGGATCTGTGACCAGCTGTGCATCCCCCTAGTCAATTTTAGAAGAAGCTAGATTCTTACTTGCCTGTGTTGTTTAACCGTAATATTTACTATGTCTTTGTATATTATGGATGGTTATATTCTATTTTTCTAATTTTCTGGCCAGCTGAAGTTATACACATTTTGTTAGGCACATCCTGCCATGTGCCTCAGAAGTTGCTTCTAGAGCAGAAAATTTGTAGATCATTTATGTCTTTGGCAAGAAACTAACAAGGCTTTGAGTTTTCATTTTAATCTCTGATTTGAAAGAATCATGCTTATTTTATATGCAGAAGAGTCATCTGAATAGCAACACACAGGCTTCTGAGCTTCCTCCTGGAGGTAGAAATGAGGACCCAAGAATCCACATTTCTAATAAGCCTGCAGGAGATAGTGATACTGCTCGTAGACCACACTGGAGGAGCAAGGCTGAAAGCAGCACTACTAGGAAAAGTGTACCATGCTAGGTAGATAACAGATGTACTTTTTACTATAGTTTTTCCCCATAATTTTCATGGACACTTTTACTAATAAACATTAAAAATGTATTGATACCTCTAAAATTGTTACGTTTAAATCTCCAAAGAGCCTAAATTTTTATTTGTTGAAATTGGAATTTGTGTTTCTGTTAGAAATTAGAAGACCTCAGCTTTTCATTAAAAAACTAGTATTTCTCCCTTGAGTCAGTTGGTACTATGATATAGTTGATATAGTTCCAATTCGTCATTTATATCTCCAATACTTATTTTTTCCAGCTGCTATTATTAAGTGCAGAATTTCTATGCATTAATAATCACAAGTGTTCTAGATCTTTCCCTTATTGTGCCATCATCTGCCTTAGAAAACTGTGGGATTTGAAATGGAACAGGATGGCTTCAGTGATTTTGAAGTTTAGATTTCCCTGACCATGTGGTCTAATAAAGATGCTTATCTGGATAATTGATTCATTCAGTAAATATATATCAAGTGCTCATTATGTGCTGTACATTGTTCTGGGTACTTGGGAGTCAGCACTAAGTTGCCCTTAGGAAATACACATGCCAGGTGCAGGAGAGAATACAGGGAGAGAGGAAATTATTAGAGTCCCCTAATTTACTAATCTTATAGGTGAACATTTGTGCCCTTTGACCCATGAGTTTGTTCTTTTAGGTAGGAAGTGCAGGGAAGGCAAATCTGATGAGGTTATGTGAAGTCAGCAGATCATAAATATGTTTAGGTGAAGAGCAATCCATGTCAAAGAAACAGCTGAACAAAGACACCTGTTTCTCAATTTAAACCGGAATCTTGACTCTTTCGTCTGATTGAGTTCTAGCAATTACTGTTTCAGATTCTTTTATTTGCAATAGATGTCTTACAGTTTTTTCAGTGTCGAGCCTGTGAGAAACCTTGCCACTCACTTGACTGTTTTTCTTTTTAAACTGAAAGCACAAAAACTATTTCTTAGGATCCTAGTGACTTTTTATAAGTAGTTATTTTACTACAGTATCTTTCTGATGTTATTTATGATTTCTTACTAGGCTGCTTCAGAGAAGATAGTGCAAGCCCTAATGGAAAGAAATTCAGAATTACAGGCCCTGCGCCAGTATTTAGGAGGGAAAGACTTCATGATGGCCCAAGCACTCATCTCAAACCAACCAGCTCAAGTTACCTCCATCGGCCCTCATTTTGGAGAGCAGACTGACCAAGTAAGAACTATTGACTCATGTAGATTTTCATGTTGACAGCATTTTCTTCATACATATCAGTTTAATGTGTTTCAGTTTCATATGTTTAATAATTGTAATACAGGTTGTATGAGACTGTTCCAAGTCTTGTCATTATGTTCGTAATTCCTGCATTTTCCTAAATCTCCCAATTCTTCCAATTTTTAGGGGTCAATGCAAATACCCTCCAGAGATAGCACTTCACTGACTACTAAAGAGGATGCCAGCATACCCAGGTCCACATTAGGTAAGTATCAAATTTCACTTCATGAAGAAACCTTTTGTTTTTCTTTTCTTGTCTCTCTGTATTAATAGATTGGCTAATGAAAAATAAAGTCTGGATTCTCCTGAATGGCTGGAAATATGTCACTTCTAAGAATTTCCCTTACCTTGTGTTGATTAATGCTTATTGCTCTGGGTTCAGAATTTGGTTCAGGGAAACTGCATCCTAGCTCTTTTTAAATAGCTTTACCAGAATTCAGAAATGCCAGATGTAGTGCTTCCAAGCCTGGATAGCAGGGCCCATAGAACTGACAGCTTCTGGATATCTAAGGCTAGGGATGGTCCCTATAACTTTCTATCACTTATATTGAGGTATTGGAAGGGATGAGCAATATACATTGAAGCTAAGCCTTATCTAAGTGATGGTTTCAGGGCTTGAACTCTCTAAAGAGAACCGAATTCTGTGCGTGGTGGGAGCATAACTCAAGTGGATACCTTGGACTGGAATCTCTGAGACAAAGATTGGTGTTTAGGATAGCCTTAAAGAAGGTACTTCTCAGCGAGTTTTGCATGTACCAACTCATGATGATTAATAAGGTAGTGATTATAATGCTAGGAAAGGTTCTAGACTTAGGAAATCATCCTATGGTTTTTTGATTGATATTAACAATTACAGAAATTTTGTGTATATATCACAGTGTAGAATAATAGAGAATTTGAAAATCTCAAAAATTGTCATTGTGTAGTTGGAAAACTATGCTAGTTAGTCAGAGTAAAGAATGTTAATGTTGTTTAACTTACTTTATATTTGTCTTTTTAAAAATACCATACTTTTCTCCCAATTTTTTATTTTGGAAATTTTAAAACTATAGACTATAAGTGACAAAACAGAACAGTGAAAACCCATATACATTTTTATTAGGCTCTATCAGTTGTTAATATCTCTGCCAGTTGCACATTATTTCTTTACACACACACACACACACACATTTTTTCGGAACCACTGGAGTATTTCTTATAGGCACCGTGACATTTCATCCCCAGACACTTTAGTTAAGTATTTCCTAGGGACACTGTCATTCTCCTATATATCGATGTATTTATCCTCTTCAGGCAATTTGATCTTTATGTTGTCTTAGTATCTAATATACAGTCCATATTCAAAGTTCCTCTTGTCTCAATAAAATTTTCTATAGTTGTGTCCATGTCTGTACCCCTGAATGCCCCACCTCAGGGATCATACATTTGCTACAATGGCATGTCTCTGTAGTCTTCTTTGATTTAGAACAGTTTTATACCCTTTTTTTGTCTTTTGTGACATTGGGAACTTTTAAGAATCCAAGTTAATGTTCTTCAGTTTGGCTCTGATTGTTTCCTCATGGTTGGGTTCAAATTAAACATTTTTGGCAAGAACACTGTATGAGTGATGCTTTTCTCAGCACATCATATCAGTGTATATTAATTAGTTTTATCATCCTTGGTGATATTAAGCTTAGTCATTTGGTTAAGGTTACACTGTCTGAAAGATCTCATCACTGTAAAGATTTATTTTTCCCTTTATAATTAATAAGTAATCTACCAGCTGATATCTTGAGATATTGACAGTTATGTTTCCGAACAGTTAGTGGCTTTAACACCCTCTGATCTTGCCTAAACCAGCTCTTACACTAGCGATTTAGAATAATTTTTATATTTCTAAAATTTCTTCTCTATGTATTAGTAGGTAAAATTTATAAAGAGCTATTTTTCCTGTCTTCCCACCTCAATTTTGGTTCGTTTCAGTATGGATCATGTCTTAGGAAAATCATTGTATTACCTATTTCTGTTGTTGTTCTATTTGATGCCCAACTTAGGCCAATAAAAACGTCTATGAACTCTTTTTCTGTTTCCTCATCAATTTTTGAGGACTCCCATAGTTTTTGGCACATAAGATGCTATAATCATCTTTTACTTCACCTATGTCAGCTTTGCAATCAACCATTAATGGAAGAAGCTCTTTGGTTCTTTTAATAGGTGATAACATTTTGAAACTAAGATCTGAGCACATGGTGTGTTCCTTGCTATATGGGTGTCATTTGCTTCTATACCCTTTTAAGTGAACCGAATTTGCAATGAATTTTTTTAAAAATGTGTGTATATATGTGTGTGTGTTTGTGTGTGTCAGAGAAAGACAGAGAAAGAGAATATAGTTCCTGCCGGTTAAACAATACACATTCTTTTTTTCTCATTGTATATTTTTAGCTTCTTTCTCCTAACATTGATAATCCTGGTTACCTTTAACATCAATATATTTCAAAATATTTATACATTTGCACAATATACAGAAATAGTTCTAGAATTACTACATGAAAAACACTATCAACAATCAATCTGTTAAGTGAAATACTTCAGATTTCTTTTAATTCTTTCTATTCTCAGGGTATTTACCACTGAGGGTATATAGTTAAGAGCACTGAGTTCAAAAATGAGGCCAGGCTTGGTGGTGCACACCTATAGTCCCAGCACTTGAGAGGCTGAGGAAGGAGGATTGCCACAAGTCTGAGGCAGGCCAGGCCCACAAAGTGAGTTCAAAGCCAACCTGAGGGGGCTGGGGATTTAGCTCAGTGGCACAGTACCTACCTGGCAAGTGCAAGGTCATGAGTTTGATTCCTCGTACTGGAAAAAAAAAAAAAAAAAAACAAAGCCAATCTGAGCTACATAGTGAGACTCTGTCTCAAAACAAACAACAACAAAAACACAAAAATTATTTGGGTTGATTATCTCCTTCATTATAGCAAGTATTTAATGCAATTAAAAAATCAAATATATAGAAAAGTATACTCAGAAATCCCAGCTTCTTCTCTGCCTTTACTTTTCTCTTGCAGGTTACCAGTTTCATTTCTGCGTTATCCTCCCTGTGTGTTTTTTTTTCAAACATAAGCAGATGAACCATATATGTGGATATGTAATGTGTATATGTATGTTTCCCCCTTTTCCTAATAGATAATTCTTTTGAATTAGCTTGTTTTACTTAGACATATCTTCAAATCACTCCATATGTTTGTAAACACCTTCCTCATTCTTTTTTACAGCTCCATAGTCTATTGTGCAAATATACTGTAGTTGATTTCATCTTTTCTGAATAGTATGTAAATTGATTGCAGTATTTTGCTATTATAAATAATGCTACAAAAAAGAGTACATAGATATTTCTTAACTGCTAGGATATATTCTCATCATGTGTTTAGTAATTAAAACAAAGACTACATGTTCATTTTAGGAGACTTGGACACAGTTGCAGAGCTGGAGAAAGAACTGAGCAATGCCAAAGAGGAACTTGAACTCATGGCTAAAAAAGAAAGAGAAAGTCAGGTGAGTTTTCTAGTCAAGGATAACTTCTAAATACTTTTTTTCTTTCAAAATAGTTTATATTTATATTCTTCAGGTATAATAATCTGACCCCAAATGCAAGGTATACCTTTTTTTCTTTTTGGAGAAACATATAAATCATTTTATATATTTTTTCTCAATAAGATGCTCTTGGGGTTTTTTTGTTTATGTTTATTATTATTATTGTTATTATTATTATTATTATCATTATTATTATTATTTGGTCTTTTTGAGACAGGGTCTCACTATGCAGTTCAGGATGGCCTTGAGCTTACTTTGTAGCCCAGGCTGGTCCTGGACTCACAGTGATCCTTCTGCCACAGCCTCCTGAGTGCTGGGATTATAGGTGTCTGCCACCATGCCAGTCCTGTTTTGTTATTATTTTAAAGAGAAAAGAATAAAAACCAAATAACAAAAGCAAAAACAAAACAACACAAAAACTATAAAAGTGATACAAAATTTCAGAACAAGATAGGAAATCAATGGTTGTTGTATTCCCTATTATTAGCTTTAAAGTAGATGCTCAGATTACCAGATATAGGTATGCAAGGTTGATCAAACAAGTAAGCATTAACTGTTCCTTTCAATAAACCAATAGTAATTAGTAGTACAATTATCTTAGCTATCTTGTATACACACACACACATACATATATTTTTCCCATCCTTCTTTCTTTTCTCCTCTCCCTCATCCCAGTTATTCTTTCCTATTGAGCGGTTTCTTTCCCTTTCACAATATCTGTTGTACCTCTCAGTTTTATTTACCCTTTCAGGTACTTACACTAGGGAGACAATACAATGTTTACACATGCGGGTCTGATTTATTTCACTTATGAGTATGGTCTCTAGTTGCATCCATTTACCTATAAAAGCCTCAAGTTTATCTTTCTTTATAGCTGAGTAATGCTCCATTGTATAAAAATACCACATTTTTCTTATCCACTTCTCAGTTGTTGGGCATTTGGATTGTTTCCAAGATTTTGCTATGCCAAACTGTACTGCTATAAACATGGGTGCACACATATCACTGTGGTATGATGTTTTTAATTCTTCTGGGAAAAATACCCAGAAGGAGAATAGCTGGGTTGAATGGGACCTCTAATCCTAATTTTTTGAGGAATCTCCAGACTGATTTCCAAAGTGGCTGCACCAGTCTACACTCCCACCAACAGTGGAGAAGGGTTTCTTTTTCTCCACAGCCCCTCCAGCATTTGTTGTTGGTTGATTTCTTGATAATAGCCATTCTTACTGGGGTGAGATGATATCTCAGCGTTGTTTTAATTTGCATCTCTTGGGTGACCAATGATGTTGAACATTTTTTTATGTATTTATTTACCATTTGTATTTCTTCATCTGAGAAGTGTGTATCATCTCAGATGCCCATTTTTGGATTGGGTCTTTGAATTTGGGGGTTTGAATTTTTTCAGTTCTTTATATGTTCTAGATGTAAGTCCTTTGTCTAGGGACAATTAGCTAAAATGTTTTCCCACTCTGTGGGTTATCTTCATTCTATTGGTGATTTCTTTTGAAGTACAAAAGCTTTTTATTTTATTTTATTTATTTATTTATTTCCAGTACCGGGAATCGAACTCACGACCTTGTGCTTGCCAGGCAGGCACTGTGCCGCTGAGCTAAATCCCCAGCCCCACAAAAGCTTTTTAATGGGGTGAGATTTTTGTTTCCATAAGTTGGGATCCTTAAAACTTTTTAAGTACTAAAAAAACAGTTATCTACCTATTATTAACTGGAATAACAATTTAAAGCATTTATGAAAAATAGAAGTACTTATACTTGCTGTCTAGAATTATGGTAGTGGACCCATGAAATTAGAATTTAGGAATAAACAAAAAATTTCATTATAACATTAGTATTTATTGAGTGCTCATTATATGCAGTGCATTGTGCCAAGTTTTTAAACTAGTGCCCATGTTCACAAAGCTACGTAAAATATGTGGCATTGGCTCCATTATAGATGAAAAAGCAAAGCTCCAGTGGTGTAATTGGTTAGCACCCGGTACTTATAGATGAAAAAGCTAAGACATAAATTCATTAATATAGGGTGGGGATTAGTCATATAACTAATAAATGCTGGAGCTGAAATTTTAAGCTCAGGTCTTTTGTGACTCTACATATTTCCTAAAATGTTATTTCCTGGAACACATATTTTTCCCACGTTATGCTTCAACCTTTTCTATCAGTAGAATTTTATCAGTTTTCTCAGAAGAGAATCTCTTCCCCTCTACCTTCCCTGTAGAGCCAGTTACATGTCCAGCTATGATACAGAAGACATTTCAGGACCACAGTGTAGAATTAAAGAGTAAAATTAAAAACTTACATGTGCTATGGTATCTACTTTAGCAGGTCAGTCAGTGTCATGGGTTCCTAACTTAAGTTTAGCTAGCTCAGTTCCTCCCTTTTTCTACCTTTTTATATTGATCTGTGGTATAAAATCTGTGTTCATATTTGTGATGAAATTGTCGTAGTATATCTCTTGATTTCATTACCATGTTTTCTCTTACAGACTTATTTTGTGTGGCTCAATTAGTTTTGAGGATATGAGAATATGTGTCATTTTAAAAATGCTGATTTAAAAATCCCCTAGTTCATCTCTCTTTTTTGGGGGGGAGTCTACTTTATCAATTAGCTGGTTATAAATGTCAAATATTTTAGTTTCTACAAGAGATACCTATTTTGCTCATATAGGGAGTAATGTGACTTTTGGATTCTGTCCTTTATTTGCAGGATCATAAAATTGTAATATCTATAAATAGGTATTTTTGAATGAATCATATTTAACTATTGCTTAACTTTATGTATCCTTTCATCTCTCCACTTCTAAGTCCAGTGGCCATATAAATCATCACATTCCTTCTGATATTAGATAATTATCAAAAACTGCAGATTTTCCCATATTTTAAACTCCTACAGTCTTGTGGTAGTAGAACTAGCAGTAGTTATCATTTGTTGATTCCCTATTGTGTGCCTAGCCCCCCAAAATAAATAATATTCCCATTTTATTGTTGAGCAAGCCAAGTCTCAGTTTGTTCATTCGTTTATTTATTTTTGTATTTTTTTAGACAGGGTCTCACTATGTAGTTGAAGCTGGCCTTGAACTTACTATGTAGTCCAGGATGGCCTTGAACTCATGGTGATCCTCCTACTTCAGCATCCCAAGTGCTGGAATTACAGGCATTCACAACCATACCCAGCCAAACTCTCAGTTTAAATGTCATGTCAAGTTTATGCAAGGATTTAAAACCAGTGTTAGTTTGACTGCAGAACTTCATTGTGTTGCAATAATGTTTTCTTCCTCATGTTTTCATTTTCTTTAGTGGAGCAAACACTTGGGTATGTAATAATAAAAGTGCCTCAAGAAGAACCAATGAATAGCCCTCTTTTCATAGCTAAGTGCTGAACAGATTGGTAAATAAAACAAATCAGTAGCAGAAAATCTGATACAATATCAACTTCATTGGTGACAAAATCTTAGGTAGAGAATTTAATACAAGAGCCAAATGGCCTGCTAGCCAGCCTGCAGAATTCAAGAGATGGACCTACTCAGGCAGAATTAGCAGGGAACTACATAGTAGGGAACTGCCTGCCCTTTGAGATGCACTGGTGAAAAGCAGGCTTCCTGTAGGCAGCTGTTTCTGAAGAACGGAAGAGAAGAGCTAAGTCAAGCATGCCTGATGTATTCTTCCACTGTGTACCATTCAAACAAACCCCTCTCTCTCACTAGGGCTGAGTGATTAAAGGGCTGGGCATGGGGGAAAGGGGAAAAGAAGGAAGGAGGAAGGGAAAAGGAAAAAAATATATATATAGAGAGAGATAGATAGATAGATAGATAGATAGATAGATAGATAGATAGATAGATACAGATGTCATGTCAAGTTTATGCAAGGATTTAAAACCTATATAGATATCTACATTTAAAACCTGTACAGATGCCATGTCAAGTTTATGCAAGGATTTAAAACCTATATAGATATCTATATTTAAAACCTGTACATCTTAGCTGTCTTGTCTGTGTATGTATATAGCTAAGATAATTATACTACCAATTTCTGTTAGTTCATTAAAAAGAATGGTTTGTGCCTATATTGTTTGATTAATTTTTCATGCCTATATCTTGTAATCTGAGCAAATACTTTGAAGATAATAATACACAATGTATTGGCCATTGTTGATCTATTACTGTGTTTTGAAATTCAGTATCATTGTTTTTATTGTTTGTTTCTCTTTAAAATAAAATTTTTAAAAATTAAAAAGAAAATAAAGGGCTGGAGAAAGTTCAGGAATTCCAGTAACTGAGCTCCTTCAGCGTGGAAAGAAAAGTAGAAGTTGGCCAACCAATTAAATCATAGGCATATAATGATACTATAAGCATTGATGGAATTAGAAGATATACAAATAAAATTCTTACTGCTTATAATTTAAATTTTATATGTGTAAGAAAAGAGATATTGCTTCCTTTAGGAAGGTTAGTTATACCTTAAGATAGCCTGTATACCATGTCTTTACCTGCCGCACCTAGCATTTTAAAATTTTTCTTAGAATAATTCTTTAAAATGTTTATACTGAAAATAACTTGTTATTACCATAAAAACTACATGGGTATCCTTACAGGAAAAGACATTAGGCCTAGTGGCCTGATTCTGTTTCCTTGAGTTCATACTCTGACTCTATTGCTTATTCGTTCTGTGATTTTAAACCAGTTTCTTATTTTCTGTCTTCATTAATCATCTCATGTGTAAATTGAGGCATAGAAGTCACCTTATCTGTAAATTGAAGAGCAGTTACCCATAGGATTGTTGTTCATTCATCAGATATGTAGGTACCATCTCTAAGCAAGGGCTAACACTGGGGATAGGTAGTGAGCAAAATCAAGAAGCTCCCTCTCTGAGTTTATGTAGTTAATTTCTACTAGGGGCAAAACAACAAATACGTTATTACAGATTATAATAAATGATATGAGGACGTAACATGGACAGGGACCATTTTAGATAAAATGGCCAAAAAAGGCCTCTTCCTTGAGTATGTGAAGTAAGCTGGTACCCAAGAATGAGGAAGAGGCAGCCCTTGACAAGATATTTTGGGCCTGGGGAATAATAGGTAAAAAGACCCTGAGTCAAAAGAAATTCTGCCGGGAAAAGGAAAGGTCTGGTGTGCCTGAAGGGTCAAGAATGAGGAGTAAAGTGGCAGATGCTGGAGTGAGAGAAGGAGGTATGAGCCAGATCACTAGGTTTGTCAAAAGGACTAAATAGAAGGAAAGCATTTATCACGTGCCTGGGACATGGTGAGCATCCAGTAAATGCTAGTAGGGACAGTTCTTCTGATTTTTAGTGAACTTTGTCGTAATCAGTATTTGTCATTTTCTGGTGAAGAGGGAAGGAAGATCCAATTCTTAAAGTGTGGACTTTACAGTGCTAATTTTTGGTAAGGTTTCTTCATAGATGCCAACATGTTCCTTAGCAGGAAGCATGTTATGTTTGGTGATCTCTGATAATGTAAGCAGTCGTTGCTGCTTGATGGCTTTTTAAATCAGTGAGAGTTGCAAAATGGAGCCATCTAATCCTATCATATTTTGATCTATTAACTGAAATATTTACATAAAGAAAAACTTTATTTCCTGCTGCTGATGAATTCTTATATATCCTAACAAACATCATTAAAAACATTATCACAGCTTCTCATAAAGTACTCTTTGGTACCACAGTGCATGGCTGTATAAATTTGATATAGTGGTGCACCATTCACGTTCTAGTTTTCTCTTGCATTATTGGTTGCCAGTGATGTGATATTAAGTTGTAAATGTGACAGGTATTATTTCCTCTGTCCACTGACTCCACAATTTCTTCCCTTCCCAGATGGAACTTTCTGCTCTTCAGTCTATGATAGCTGTGCAAGAGGAAGAGCTGCAGGTGCAGGCTGCTGATCTGGAGTCCCTGACCAGGAACATACAGATAAAAGAAGACCTCATAAAGGTCTTTCAGAACTTTTTGTAGACCATTGGAAATGTTTGCAGTTCAGAGTATCTGTGGGGCACCTTCAAAATAGGGATATAATGAGCCCCTTAGCCAGTTTGTCAGTCTCTTACTTGAAAGTATAGTGGGCTCTTTCAAGAGAATTTCCCTTCTCCCCTAAATAGTGTTTTTATTGCTATGTTTATATCTGTACTTATTTCTAGGACTTGCAAATGCAGCTGGTTGATCCTGAAGACATTCCAGCTATGGAACGCTTGACCCAAGAAGTCTTACTTCTTCGAGAAAAAGTTGCTTCAGTAGAATCTCAGAATCAAGATATCTCAGGAAACCGAAGACAACAGGTAAGTTATTACAGTGTAAGCTATTTTTTTATTTGGAATAAATGATTGAAAGCCTGTTAAATAGGCTAACTACTTACGAAGAGGTCAGCTGATGCTATTTCATAGGGAACCCATGCTCCACAGTTTGCTGCCGTGGTCAGTGGCAGCCATAGATATCACTTTCTGACATTTGTAGTTCTGAAATGAGCAGCAGTTATTCCTCACTCTCATAAGTATGTCACCTCCCTCTCCACAGAATCCTCATCTACCTTCATTTAGCTGTATTCAGATCCAGCCCCATTAAAAAAAGAAAAACAAAACTTGTGTCTGTCCCTTTTCAATATCAAACTTTAAAAAAAAGATTTCCTTATCTATACTCCCTCTCTACATTATTACCTCTCTCACTACTCGTCTTGCTCCAACCTGACTTTGAATTTTATCCTAAACAGATCTTTTCCAGTTACACATCATCATAGTCATCTTTATAGCACAAGTCATAGCTCACAGTGTTACATGACGAATGTCTTTTCCCCGTGCTAGATAGTAAGTTTTTTTCCTAGAACTGAACAGAGCCTATTACATAGAAGGTGCTTAATAAATACTGAATAAATAAACACTGAAACTTCCTGTTTTGTGTTTCCCTTGTATTCATCCTTTCTTTCTTGCACTCTGTTTTCGTAGCATCTTTCCTATGCTTCTGGCTTCTTTCTCCCTTTTTTATTCTTGCTCCTATGTGTGAATTTGGCTTTAATGATTTAAAAAAACTATAAAGTGAAAATGACTGTGACATAGATTTGAAAACTGTAAAATACTGCAGAAAGCTTATGTGAGATTGTTTTAATCATAGTATGTGCAAATGCATTCTTTTTGTCTCTTCCTCAGGACTAATTGTGGTTTTCTGTCTCTCCTTGCTGCTTGTATGTTGCTTCTCTCTTTCCATAGTTGCTGCTGATGCTAGAAGGACTCGTAGATGAACGGAGTCGACTTAATGAGGCCTTACAAGCTGAGAGACAGCTTTACAGCAGTCTGGTGAAGTTCCATGCCCATCCTGAGAGGTAAGAGAGTGACTTTTCCCTTTTTAAAAAGTTTTTTTCCTTTTATTCTTTTTATTTCTTTTTTTCTATTAAGTAGAGGTGCTTATAATGCCAAAAGGGAGAGAAAGGCAGCTATTCAGTTTGTCATTTTTAAGTGGATTGCTCTGAGCCTCAATGTCTAATTCTTAAGTTAGGATGGTATGTATTTTTCATAGCTTTTGCCTAGATTCAGAAGATAGGTTAGGTACTTAAAGCAGTGCCTTTCATTTAAGCACTCAGTGTATGTTCCTTTCTTTTCTGCTCCATGTCCTCTTAAAAGCTGTTCTGTTATGAAAGTAATAAATAATGCTGGTAACCACTTAATATCATTACATAACATTGAAGAAAACATACTCATTGTGATGGCCTAACCCCAGAATCACTGATGGCCATCATTATGAATATATTTTCTTATGCTTCTTGAATTTGGTCATGTATATTATATCTTTCTGTTTAATTTTATATTCCCTTTTTATCTTTCTCGTTTTGCCTTCCTGCCTAGTCCTTTATTCTCTTTTATAGTTTTTATTCTTTTGTTATTCACTTTCTTTTAATTTCTTACTGGGTTTTTAAAATGTTTTCTTTTTACCTCAGGAAAATGAATCAGAGGAAATGTATGATAGGATCCCTTGCTTGTGTTACCTTTTAAAGAGCTTCTGGATCTGTAGTCTTTGTGAGCTGGCTTCTTTTTCAGAGCACTGTCACATTTGGTTACAAATGAAAAAGTAGATGTCCTCAATAGCAGCCTTGCTTCAGGCCAGCCTTGCTTCATTTTATTTATTTTTCACAAACTAAAGCTTTCAAATAATGAAATTTCTCTTATGTGGGCTATAGGAGTGTGAAATCAATCCTAGGAGCTATAATTTTATGTGAGATTGGTCCAGAATCTCACCTAAAAGGACAATTTGAAAGAAAGGAACGGGCTTGCTATTCTACCAACAATGAACACACATGCCTCAACCAAAGACTACATTCATTTATTATGTATTCTGGAGAACAAGCACTTAGTCTCATGGCCTTGAGTGGCATTGATGGCTCTTTGGAAACAGTATGAGGACTCCTTACGGTCTATAGCTAATCCATTTCCCTTCCATGTGGCATGTTTAATCAGCTCTGAGAGAGACCGAACTCTGCAGGTGGAATTGGAAGGAGCCCAGGTGTTACGCACTCGGCTAGAAGAAGTTCTTGGAAGAAGCCTGGAGCGCCTAAGCAGGCTGGAGACCCTGGCCGCCATTGGAGGTGGGGAACTGGAAAGTGTGCGAGTTCGTCACAAGCATGCCTACTGAGCATTGGCTGGTCAAACTGCAGCCCAGGATGGAGAACCTTGTTTTCACTAACCAGAAAGCCTGTCTGACTTGGGAGAATTAAATGGTGACTTACTAATAATAGAATTGATATAAGTAATATCAACTACAAAGTGAAACTCACTTTAGCCTACTTGTATTTCACTGTACGTATCTTTTAATTAAATGGTAGAGGTTACAAAGTGTATTTGCACATTTAAAATCATTCTATTTTAGTTTTTCCATGAATATTCATTCCTTTCCCTAGTCATTCCTTCTCATTTCCTTATCCCTTCTGTGGGCCAATAAAGTTTATTCCTCCCCCACTTTCATAATCCATATGATATGTTCCATATCATTTCATAAATGCATGTGTGTGTATTATTTTTGCCATTCAATCAACTCCTGCTCTCTGAGAGCTGTTTTTACAACCAAGTAAAAGAATAAAATAAAAATTTTACAATGAGAGAGAAAGATTGAAAGAGTCTATAAGAATGACTTTGCAGGAGTGGTCAAATCTTTATCAGAAGGTAATTAAAATGATTCTAGTCTTAGGCCACATTAAAGAGTAGAGAGAAACACTAATGTGTTTCTAGTAAACTTTTACCTCTAATGTTGTTTCACAGTTGGCAATTGAATGACACAGGTGAAATAATGGTGGTGCATATTAATTTTTTTATTTGTCCCTTCAATTTTGTTATAACAAGGGCATTCTGTGTAGTCAGAACATGACTTTAAGAATGGTCTGTAGTCAGATTCTCTGTGTGAAAAGATAATTGTCAATGTAATATCCCCCTTTGAAATCAGTATTTACCACATAACTCGGGATAGCCAGAGAAAAATACTTCTCTATTTCCATGTAAAGGTACTGGATAAAATACTTTTCATTAGCTCATGTGTGTACACTTCTCTGTATTAAAATACGTAATGAGCTTTAGGCTGTAAGTGCTTGAGTAATTTAAAATGAAATGCCACAAATCTGTATTTTTAGGTTTTACTCATTGTGTTGGTGCTTTCTTGTGGCAACATGAGAACTGCAAAGAAAGGACACCAAAGATTGTGTCTGGTATCTTAAATGTCAAGAGTTGGAAAAGTAACGAGCATTACTGTGGAGCTTTGTGAGTCCAACACCGTGAGGTTTTTTTTATTTCTGTGGCATATAAGTTTCCTAGATTGGAAGCTGAGTTTCAGTTACTTTAAACATGGAATTAAAGAAACATGATTTCTAGTTTCCTAAGTATGATGGAGCAGCCTTTCTAAGCTGGGTGGGTCACAGTGATTTTTGTTTTTCTGTTTTTTACATGGCCCTTTGTTTCTTTTGCATTCTTCTGCTGACATTGCCTGCATTACATCCTAAATTCCATCCGAGCTTCTGCAACCTTACCTGTGCCAATAGTAGAACACTAGTCAGAATAAAGTGACCTGGAGAAAATGTTCTACTGGATAAACGCCCTGGAATCTTTTGATTAAATACAGCAGTTTGCAAAGATTGATAACAATATGTTATGATATTAGTCACCTTAGAGTTAAAAGGAGTAACATAATGGACAAGACATAGGAAATGTAAGTGGAACCATCTACCTTTTGTAGTCTCCCCATCTGAAGAGACCCTTTCCTGAACAAAACTTTAAGTTAAACTTCACTCCACAAGAAAGGAAGAGGATAATGGAGTTGAGCTGTAGAAATGTCAACCCATTGAAGACTAATCTGTTGTCATTATAACAAGGCATTTAGGAAATATCTTCCCTTAATTATACTAATAGACTAAGGAAATGTTCTGTGTGTGCTATTAAGTTTCAACCATGTGTGATTCTTAGGTCCTAATAGTGATTATAGTAATTTATGTTAGCGATTGCTATTACTGTCAACCTCCAACAACAGTAGATTGGTAGAAGGATAAATCAAGAGTTTGATCTTGGTGCAATACATGTGACTAAAACCTGGTACTAACTTTCTGGTCTTCATAGCTGGAATGAGACTTCAAAACAGTGCTACCTGGAGAGAGGTTACTTACTGATCTAACAAGTTTGTGTGATAACTTGACATCTAATGATTAGAGCACACAATTCTAATTTCTAATTTTTGTTTGTAACCCAAAGACAGATGATGTTGTGATTAGATACACCATGCACATAATCATGTGTAGCATGATATAATACACTTCCATTTCTCTCTTTAGGAGCATAGATTTACTGGATTATTCTACCTTTGTCCAGGATTTTTTCAACACTGTAATAATTTTAGATAAAGCATTATATGCATACAGAAGCTTGTGCTTGAATAAAAAAGAACATCTTGGGAGAAAATCAATGAAATAAATTTTTACTTAGGCCATGCTTAATTGGAAACATAGAACTTCGAAAAATCCTTACTCAGAGATTTCTTTTGTCTCACATTTCCTTCTGAATAGTAGTAATATGTAGACTAAAGGCTTTTAATCATTTTTAGAACTATAGAGTTGAAAAAGACCTCTAAGAGGATTTATTTAATGAGTGAAGGATGCCCTTATGACAGATATTTTCCTTCTCTGTTGCAGGTTTTTTTGTTTTTATGGAGCTAGGAATTGAGCCTAAAAGCTTTGTGTGTGGTAGGCCGCTGAGCTATACCCCAGCCCTTCTACTCTAGGTTTAAATTACTGAAATATGAAGACTTTTAGAACCTAATAGAAGCCAACATTTGTTTGATCTCTTTTTGCTAATTTGCCAATTTATAACTTTTTTGGGAACTCATGATTGGGCCATTTTAATATGATGCCTGTGATGGAGATACTTTTATCCCCTGTTCTCCATTCCTGCTCACCCACTTCTCTTCATTCAGGAGTGCAGAGAAGCAATATTAATTCTTACACAGGGTAAATTTTTCTTTGTTCATGCTTTTAAAAAGATGTTTCAGTTACATTACATATAATCACACATCTATTAAGGGTCAAAAAAAAATCTTAACCTCCATATAAAAATCTTAACTACTCCAAAAGAAGTAGTTTCTTTACAAGATTGTTCAGTATATTCTGCTTACACAGTTTATACATGAGTGACCTCTGTGGCAGATATCTAAAAGACCTGTAATTTTAATGCTTATTTATGTTTCTAATTCAGTATCTAGGTAGTAAGAAGTTGGATTTTTACCTTTGAGTATTGATTTCAATTTCCTCTACTTTAAACTTCAAGCTTGGTCTGGAATTTTCCAACTGGGGAAAGAAACAACAGATCACATTACAGCAAAAATTGTTCTTTTCTTCAAGAAGTAAAGGTTGACCCACCTCACTAAAGCTATTTTTTTCCTTTGGGCTGTAATTCTTAGGACAATTTAATATTTTTGCTTTCCTTGAGAGCTAGTATTAGAATACTAATACTGGGGGAGGTGGTACAGAAAAGTCACAGAATCTTCAAAGTTGTGATTCCTGAAAAATTCAAGTTACCTCCTCAGCAAGGACCCCAGATAGTATTAGGCAGGTCTGCAGCCAGCATCCTGCAGGGAAAGTTGACAAATTTCTTGTGAGTTGGGAAAAAAATATTGGTAATCCATACACAAATATTAAACCACACATATTTCCATCTTGCCTTGAGGAAAGCGTATATGGGAGGTACAATAAATGAAATAGTTTTCTTTTTCAGACATTAACATCTTGTGAGATACGAGCACATATTTTCTAATTTTTCTTAGGCTGAAGCTCAGCGTTTCTTTTTCTTTTAGTGAAATAGAGCAATTTGTACTCTAGCAAAAAAGCAACATCTAGGCATATGGGGCTCATATATGGCAACCCATTAATGAAAACTAGAAGGAATGAATCGGTAGGTAATACACTGAAGTTATCTCTGTAAGGCAAATAGTTTCTCAGTGTTAATGTATTTTGGAACATGGATTTAAACCACTCCCTTACCACTTGCAGCAAGTTGCTTCAATACATTTTATTATGACTGAAAAATAAACATGTTGCTTTTATGTAGTATGAGTTTTGACAAGGTAAGTCCTCAGCTTCTTTATATATAATCACATGGGCAAGGGTGAGTTTCCCAAATACAAAGTTAGGCTTATAATTTGCCTAAAAGCAAATAGGGAACGAAAACACAAAACCCTAGAACTGACAGCACTGATTTTGTCAGGTTCCAAATATGGTAATAATTAAACTTACAAAGTGATGTATTCATATTTTTGGGTTTTTTTATTTGTTGTTTACAGTCAAATTCCAGAAATAAAAATTTGTTTCCTCTTGTAAAAGGATAAAATAGAAAGTTCAGGAACATCAGAGAATGTTTGATCTAAAATAACATGAAGAGTAGGACTGTTAAGTACACAAGACAAATTGGCTTCCTTACTCCAATTCAGAAAGCTAGTTGTATTGCTATTGCTTATAGATTTGTATTTCGTGTGTAACATGAGTGTGCACTGCTGCTTTTTTGCAGTTAGCAGTCATCACTCTAAGATACTGACCTCTCAATCTATAAACTTTAGAAACATATATGTATGCTTTATAAATAATGAATTTCTATGCCCATGAAGTATTATTAATTTAATGAGAAAGCAGTTTTCTTTTATCACTTAAAATTTTGTAGGCTATTGTGAAAAATTAGTGATTCATAACAACTTCAGGTGACAAAAGAAATGACATGTTATATGATCAGAAACTTGGCATTAAATTATTTCTAGGACTTTCCTCACCAAATTAAGTGGTATATTTTTCTCTGGAAGTTTATTTCTTCATGGCACTGTGTTGTTAAACATTTGTACTGAAACAGAGAATGTACTTTTTGATGTATAAGTATTAGAATTTCAACCACTTTAGTTAAGACACAAAAAATTGTTACCCAATAAAAAGTATCAAAGGCCAACAGAAATTATTTGGTTTCATTCTTAAAAGATGTATAAGAGAAGAAGCAAAAAAGGCTCATATCTTTTTTCTTTTCCTTTGTAGGAGAATCAATTTATTGCTCATTGTACTAAAATTCCAACTTCAAATAAGGCTCTGTGGAATGAGTATTTAACTAAAGGAGAGAATAAAAAGAAACCTGAATTTTTCTTCTCCCAAAGAAGTGAGACTAAAGAAACAGCATTGCAGTTTCCCCATAAAAGTGAAGAGCTCATTTATCTTAGAAATCCTTTTCTCACTCTCTTGCCGAAGGAAAGTAGTTAGAAAGGACAGATTTGAGGTTCCAATTGATTCGGTGGGTTGTACCATCTTTTTAAATGTTCTTAGAAAAACTTGCTTGTGTTGAGGAAAAGAGAATGTGAGCAAGAAGAGTTCCTTAACATTACAAATTATTACAGAATAGGTACAGTGGACATATCTTCTGACCTGCCCATGACAGGCCTAATTTACACATGTTCTGGTCATGTTAAGGATAGGTAAACTAGTTTATTGAAGTCACTCTTGAAGAAGGACCTGTAAAATCTGAAGTTTCGTACCCCAAAGAATTCTTTGTATTATACTTTAGTTTTGTAAAGTCACTTGAAATAGCTTCTTTCTGAATAATGTGCAGAGTGCACAACCCTCTGGGCTGAGAGATGTTGGTAATTTATAGACAAAGGTACACAATAAAGCAGCTAGGAGAGCTGACTGTTACTTCAAGCCTCTCACTGAGGAAAACAGGTGTTCAGAAGTGAAGTAAGTACTGGTGGAATGATATCCAGTTGGTAGCGTCAGGGCTAAACCTGTATTTAGCTTCTGTAGTCTTCAACTTTGTCAGCCCTCAACTTTTCAGCCTGAGGACCGCTTTAGTTTATCGTCAACAACAATATTGTTTCAGGGTGAGAGTTACTGAGGACAGATTATGTGGCAAGTACTGTTGTAAACACTTCAAAATCAGCAAATCCTTTGAAGCTCACAGCAACTGTATGGATTGGGTAATACTATTAGTCCTAATTAATGAAACAGTTATAGAAAAGTTTTAACTTGCCTAAAGTCATGTAAGTACAGACAAAAGCAGACTTGATGAATTTTTGATAAGAATAACTTATTTACATAATGCTTAAATTATCACCCAAGGACTTTATCATGCCACATTTTAGAGGTTTATTTGATTTCTTTGAACCTTGTAAAGTCAGATATCTTTTAGAAAATAATTTTCTAAATACAAATAATCGAAATTTTGCTATCACCTCCATTTTGTGTGGTTCAGAGCCTATAAATTTCCAAGAACCACACCTTGAGACCTTCTACCAAAGCCTCAAATAAAAGTTTTAATACAATTTCAGACTTGAAGTGCTAACGTGTAAAACTTAATCTTGCAGAGGCAAGCTAAGTAACAGATTCTTAGCATTCAGAGAAGCCCAAGAAGGAAAACCATTTTATTTCAGATTTTCTCCAACTAAGCAGAAGGTTCATTGATATAGAAAGTATTAGTACTTTTCATTTGAAATGGAAATTTGAAGTATTCCAATATAGCTCTAAGAGTTGTCTTTTGTTACCTTGTAAAAGGTTGCAAAAAGGAATCCTGGACAAAAAAAGTTCTTTTATTTTCATTCATTTAAAAATGAAGCTAGTAAGAGAAATAAGTCTAATGTACACTTAATATACAGAAACTTGTGTAAGACAATTCATTTTATACCCATATTTTCAACTTTATCCCTCAAACACACACACAAAAGAGTTTTAAACATTTTAATTCAAGTTAGTAAGAGGCTGAGCAACCTTTAAGCTTTCATAAATGAAATAACATCAGGTTGTGAGTTAGCTAGAAAAATGAAAGGAAGGTAGGGGGAATAACCCATACTGTAGTTGTTGAGAAGGGCCTTCTTCCTTTGTCACCATCTAATTCCTGATGCAGTCAGAACCGAGGCATCCTGCTTCTGCCCCCACCAATTAAAGAGGGAGCATTATGTAGAAATGCAGTAGGGCACCTGAAAAGCCTACAAAGGTAAGTGAAGGGCAGGAAGTGTCAGGTGAAAACTTTGGAAACCAGTGACAGTCACCTCCCTAATCCCCACTTTACTCCTGGAGCCTAGCATAGGAATCATCTTGGAATATGGGCTTAGCATGGGGTGTACAATCCACCAAGAGTGGTACGGGGTGAGGAGCCTGACCTGGAGCTGAACTTGCTTCAAGCACAGAACCATTCATTTTCTAGCTCAGTACTCAAAAAGGAAACAATATGAAACGTATGTTTTCTTAATCTGTCACTTAGTTGGATAATTTATTTTAAAAAATTGAGACAGTATTTTTCTGTACAGTTCAGACTGGCCTTCAGCTCATGACTCCCCTGACTCCCAAATGCTGGGATTACAAGTGCATGCCGTTACACCTGGCTTACAATTCATTTTTGTTTTCAGAGAAAAATAAGACCATGATTTTTCGTGTTGTATAGCAGAGATTTTCAAAAATAAACATAATATAACGTGGATGTGCAGGTGAATTAGCATCCTGGGTGCAGTGAATTTCAAAGTGGCCAAAGTTTAGGGAGTGTGTTCATTCACCTGCACTCAACCAATATTCTGAGTGATAGGGTTCTGAGGCTGTATTAAAAGAGTCGATGTTGGAAACCCATGCTTTACATTGCTTGGATCTCTAAAGATTCTGAACAGTAGAGAAGCCTCCGTGCAGAGGGCTTTACTGACTAGGGTTCTGCCTTGGTCCCGAGTTAACATAGCTTTTGTGGTACAAATCAGTGAACTTAAACTGTTAGTACTGCATGCTCACTGCTGTATCTCTCTGTACTTTGATGAGATCAGCATGAACCACTACAAATATTGACAGGACCTTGCAGATACCAAGAAATGGAATGTGGGTGGGAACTGCACCTGTTTGCTTCCTCTATGGGAAATAATTTAGGCTTTCTTGAAAAAGATTAAAGGGTAACCACTCTGAAGGTAAATACTCATTTTTCACATAGAGCCTTGCATTCGTGGATGTCTGAGCTCAGGAGCAGCTTGTCTTAGAAGAAAAAGAAAAGAAATGTGGTCTGAAGCAGAAACAATAAATGGTTCCTAACAGTGCAGATATTGACTTTTTTTTAAAAGCAGTGCTGGGGATTGAACCTAGGCCCTCACTCATGCTAGGCAAAATACACTTGATTTGTTGGCATGGCTCTTATATGGACTAGCTGTGTAACCTTGGATAAGCCACCTAATCTCGTTGAGGTTCACTAGTCAGAAGATTTTAACAGGTTGATTGCTGGGGCCAGGGTCAGAACTAGATCTTGAGATTCTCTACCCTAAGCAACTTCTGTAAGATACAAAGACTTTCCTAGTGGATATTCTTTGGCATTTTGAGCAAAAAGTACTGTCATGTGGAGCACGGCTCTCAATTTAAAATCGTATGGACAAAAATCTTTTATTCTAACTAATATAAAAAGGAAAAATGTCATAGATTTGTGCTGTCTAAGATAGTAGCTGCTAGCTGCATGTGGCTATTTAAACATAAATTAACTAACAAAATAATAAATTCAGTTCATCAGTCTCACCACATATCAAGTGCTTAAGAGCCACATATGACCACTGTCTGTTTATATTGGGCCGTACAGAAGCAGAACATTGTCATCATCAAGAAAATTCTAATGGCCAGTGCTGCCCTAGACCTTTGCCCAAACCGCAAACTGTAGCTACATGTTCTTTACATCAGGATAAAGATGTTTGTGCTCTACAGTGAATGTGTCCATCTTTGGAGAATGAAAGGATGGATAAAACTCCATTTGGACAAAGATGTGCAAAAAATCCTTCAGGCAACAGTTACTGGCATTGAACAAGAATTTGAGAGAGAGAGGAGAGGAGGTTAGAGGAAAGAAATAGGAAATCCCTGAATCGTCCTATGGCTCAGATCTTGACTAGTCCTGAACTTCAGCAGGACACTGGAACCCCAGGGGCGGAGTTCCTCAGAGGTATTATCATCCTCTGCACAACTGATCTCTACAATGGAAAAGTGTCAGTAGACCAGGGCTGCCCTAATCCCCAGGAAATGATGGCCCTACTCAGCATGCAGCAATGGGGAAAAGGTTAGTTATGTTTTACTCAGTGTTACTTAAAAGAGGGTTATCACATAGCCAGGAGGAGAAATAATTCAGGATTTTTTCAAACAGTTGAGAGGAGTAACCACTCTGATAATCAGGTTTTTAGATATAGGTCTGTGCAGTCAAAACCAGTTTACATGTTGAGCTTTGAGTTTTAGTAAGAAAGTATCAATGATACAAGGAGAAGGCTGGATTCTACCTTCCCTGGCAACTAGATGGCCATGCATATGGGGAAAGGAAGAAATCAGAGGCAGATGGCAGAGAATGTAACTTTACCTGCTGTGTGGAAGCCATCTGTGGGGGAATCACCTTTCTCTTCTGGACTTACTTCCAGGTGCAGCTGCGGGGGATGACACTGAAGATGCGAGCACTGAGTTCACTGACAGTATTGAGGAGGAGGCTGCACACAACAGCCACCAGCAAGTAAGTCAGAGTCAGGTTCCGCGGTTCCCAGGGAGGAAAGCACACAGCCCTCCTGGGGTCTGATGGTCTCCTGCAGTCCTTGTGCACTGAAGTAAGAAGACATCCTGGTACATATGCTACTTCCCAGTTTATTTCCTGTCCTCCCTGGCTGCCTCTGTAACCCGTATCCTCACTCTGCTTTTTTCTCTAACCCACACTTTTGTTTTTACTATTTGTTCCTTTCTTCTGCTCCTTACCCGCTTCCTACCCACCTCTGCCCCTGTTTATTGTCTGTAGCTATAGCTTGAGAACAATTTTTACATACAAGATAATGAATACTTCCTGTTTTGGGCTTTTGTAACTGACACCCACCACAGAAGACAGGGAGACATCAAGGGGCTGCTGGGGAAGGTAGTAGGGCTGAGGACTGGGAAGAGAATGCAGTCTGAGAAATCCAAGAGGACTGGGATGCCTCCAAAGCAGGGATCTTGAAATTTTATTATCCAGTGGAGGACTTTGCAATACAACCTGACAAACTACCCAGGTTGTGACAAAGTTAATGATCAGCAGATGATACTTCAACAGTAAGCCCCTTGTTGAGCTTCAGAACTTGGTACTCAAGGCTGAAACACTGTTCCCACCCACCATCAGAGAAGGGATGACCAACATGGTCTCAAGTCTAAGAATGAATGCCCTGAACCTCAGAGACTAAGTCACCTGAAGTGATTCCACAGCACTCATTGGAACTCCTAAGTGTCTCTACCTTGTCCACTGACATTTAATAGTCACAACTCTCAAAGGGACCATACCTGTGACTTTAAGTTGTTACATAGAGAGTGGGTCATTGGGGGAAAAAAAACTTCTGTAAATCAGCTGGGATTTTCTAGTGATAGCTTCCTTGGGGTTTTTAGGAAGGAGATATAAGGCTTCCTGGGTCTACCTGTACATCTGTATAAGAAAAAAAAGAAACCATACATCTGTATAAGAAAAAAAAGAAACCATAAAGAGCCAATGAGTTAAAAACAAAACAAAAAAAGCCAGTGAGTAGAGCCCAAATCTTGTACAGTTTGGTAGTCTTTGGCTCTTGAAGGCATGGTTGTCTAGGATACCTTACCTCACACAAGAGTTTCTTTACCTCTACCAAGATCCCTTTTTTGTTGCTGTAGCCAAAACTAACCTCACTTCTCTCCAGTTTCACATCAACTCTACTTCCCTTTTTGCTTGAACAGCCTCTTCGGAGTCTGCCTCACTGATGGATGTGACTGACTTAGTTATGTACACCACTGCCCCTCTGCACAGATGCCTCTGCCTAATACTCCCTGACTCTAATGAGGATCTTGGTTGAGAGAGAGAAACTTGTAGGATGGGTAAATGTCCACTTTAAGACATTTAGACTAGGATATCATCCGGTCACTGATGTGTGTAACATCTGCAGGACAGGATGAACTCCAGAAAAGCAAACAGGAGACACAGACATGAGGAGAGTTAGATTCTGATTGATATAATCTGAAATATTCCAGGTAGTGCAAGTTCTATAGGCAAACTGGTTTCTAAAGTCATTTCTTCCTCAGTTTAGCATCAAGAATATGACCAGACTTTATTTTGAAAGTGTAATCTAACCCTGGAATAAACATTTACATGGGGAATGCTTGCAATATAACTTGGAATAGAAGATATTTAGTATAATTATAAGTTAACAAACTTTTGGATTAGGACTTGATTTGTGATAGAATGTTTTCCTGTTAGATGAAGAGTCTCTTGGGCAAACACCATCTTTCTATCACCTTTCTTTCAAAACCAATCTTCACCTCTGGGTAAGAGGAACCTTCATGTGTAAAGTCATTATAAGTTTACTTCATCTTATCTGGACTTTGGGTTTGTGACTCTCCTGCTACCAGTTAAATAAAGCTTGTTTTGCTGTAACTGTTTGTGTCCATATTCTCAAAAATTTGTTTGTTCATTTCCAGGAAAATGGTCCCTCACATTAAGTTCTGAGTTTCTCCTTGTTGTGCTCTTGGAAGATAAACTATTCTTGACATCAAGCTCCCTGTTTACCCAAAGCATGCATACACTTCTCCTAACAAACACACCAACTATGTGTTCCTGTCCAAGAGTCACCCTCTAGCCAAAGCAAATTGTTTCTTCTTATTTTTTGGACATACTCACCTTAAGAAGCCTCAGGTCTGACATGGTAGTCATTTCTTCCACATGTCTCTCACATAATTCCAATCTCAAACAGATGTAACCTCTATAATAAATACTTAGGGAGTTCCCATGAAAGAAACAAGAGTACTCAACTATTGACTTTCTTCATTTGAACTTTTGCAGTGGAAAAAAGTTAATCAGAAACAAGATTCAAATACAAAGAAATCAGAAGACTATGATTAACCTGAAAAACACTATTTTAAAAAGTTATCTTTAGTATCAAATCATAACTATATACATTAATAGGGTTTATTTATTTATTTATTCATTTATTTATTTGTTGCCATACTAGGTATTGAAACCAGGGCCTTAGCACAGGCTCGGCAAGTTGTTTCCTCCTGAACTACATCCCAGCCTTTCTTATTTTATCTGGAGACACAGAGTCTCTCCAAGTTGCCCAGGCTGGCCACAAACTTGATATCTTCCTCCTATTCAGATAAGAATAAATATTGTGCCTATATTCAAGTATAGGTGATGTTCATTTAATGCTGGTAATGTGCATTTAAGTTAAATTGGTTGTAAAGAGTTTGTATAGAAAGATAGTATCACATAGTTTAAATGAAGGATAGGGCTATAAACTTAAAACAATGGTTTTATCCAGAACTCCGTTCTTTATTATGGTAAGAATGCTTGGTGCCACATGTGAAGAGGCCATTTGCCTAAGCCTGGCAGCAGAGTCTTAGAGACAGACATTGGCAGGAGCCTGCCAAATGTCAGGCTCCCAAACCCCAATTGGGAGTGGATGCTTAGGGACTGAGTATCTGTATCTGTGGATCTCATTCTTTTACAACATGGGTGCACAACTCTTTACAGCCTTCACTACAATACTAAATACTGTTGTACATGCATGCTATGTATGAATTAACCCTACCACAAAGAAGTGGCCTTGATTTCACCATCCTTTGTTATGAGAAATAGCAAAAGTCAATGGATTTGTATCAACCCAAGCTGGTCTGTCAATCAGTGATCCATATAATTTGCTGTGCACCTTGTTCTGTTCAATATCAGTGAAATGAATCAAGGTATAAAGTATATTGTTAAATCTACAAAATTATTCCTAATTAGGTAGCCATTACATGATTTCTAGAAATGCACAGCAAACATTTTAATGGCTTTGATAACAGGGAAATGATTCTGTATAGCCAGAATGAATTTATAAGTAACAAGTACACAAATAACAATATTTATAGAAATAAAAATGTCCTGGAAATAACTGAGAAAATTGGAAGTCAGGCTTGATCTGAAGTTAAATGTAAATCACAAATGCTTCCCCTGAGAGGAAAAAAGAAGACAACGTGACATTCAGATATATTAAGATTAATGTTGGACAAACAGGCTGGAAATCCTTGCGTATACTTAGTATACTAGGGGCTGGGGATTTAGCTCAGCGGCAAAGCGCCTGCCTGGCAAGCGCAAGGTCGTGAGTTCGGTTCCCGGTACCGGAGAAAAACCAAAAAAAAAAAAACAATACTTAGTATACTAGTATACTAATATACTAAGTAGATTATATACTTAGATTTTGATTCTACACTCTGAAAAGCCTGGAAAACAACTAGAGAAAAGTCCAAAATGAATGATAAAATGTCTAAAAGTTCACAAATTTCCATTTTAGGAAATAACCATAGGGTCTGCTTTAATTGAAACATTGAGAAACTATGAGTATCCTCAAAAAAAAAGTATTGAGAAGTCCTACCTTTTCTTCTCACATGCTTAGATTTGTAGACAGAATTCAGCTGACAGTATTGGCACAAATATAATAATCAATATATATATAACTGGCTGCTAAGCAGGGTGGCTTCACTCCAACTTCTCAGTAGTGGTAGGGTATGATTCCCCTGCTGCCAATGAACTAGAGCTTGCTTTGTTTTACCTTCAGCTTCACTCTTGCTCTAATTCTGTGACTGAGTGGTCCTGTTTCCTTCCTGAGTACCCTGGCTGCTCCTTCTCATCTCTTCTGTGGAGTCCAAGTTATAAAGAGGGTCTGGGGCATTGAGACATGGCATACTGAGCCATGACCTTGGCAGTCAGGGACCCCAGTGTTGTGGAGCTGGTGAAGCTTCCTAATTTGTAGGAAGACTTTCAGAGAACCCTGTCCCCACAGAAAGAGAAGAATTGTAACACCTATACTCCCCAGACCTATTTAAAATTCATATGTTTGTTTGTTTTAAATTTTGTGTATGTGCATGCGTGTGTGTGTGTGTGTGTGTGTGTGTGTGTGTGTGTGTGTGTGTTCATCCATCTGTGAATTCTTCTCTTCTCCCTGGCAATAATTCCTCTGATCAACAGATGTGTTCTCCCTGCCAGAACTAGTGTGTAGGACCTTTACAGCTGGAAGGCCTTAGGTGGAAGTTCATTTTAGTTTGCCTTTCTTCCTACTTGAAAGGTGCCCTTGGGAACACATGCTCCTCTTGGATCCTCTTTAATTACCTAACTTCTTTAAACAATGATTTTCTTTCAGCTCATCAAGGTAGCTTTGGAGAAAAGTTTGGCAACTGTGGAGACCCAGAGCACAACTCTTCCTACTCCTTCCCTGGTAGGAGGGGATAGTAACAGGTGTCTTCAGGAGGAAATGCTCCACTTGAAGGCCGAGATCCACCAGCACTTAGAGGAGAAGAAGAAAGCTGAGGGGGAACTCAAGGAACTAAAGTCTCAAATTGAGGAAGCAGGGTTCTCCTCTGTGTCACATATCAGGTAAGACATTTTCCTTAGAGAAGAGGAGCCTACCAACCATGAATCACCATTGCCAGGGACTCACCTTGCAGCCACCAAGGCATGTATGCTGCCATGATGCTATTTGCACCACATTCTAGGCTTAATGTTCTTGAAAATCCTTTAGAGAAAAGTTAATAATATTGGATAATGGCAACTTGGATGTTTTGTTATCCAAACAAACCTGGTCTTAATTCAATATAATTATCCATACATGCCCGTGATATATATGCAGCCATGGGTATATCCTCCTAGTTACATGATTGATATTGTGCTTTTGAAGCGATTGAAACATATAAGGAATCTCCTACTCAAGAAGTTTCACTGCTTAAACTTCACATGCAAAACCAGAACAGTCTGTAATGGAGGAGGATTTATATAGAGGCCCTCCATCTCCACTCAGCTCCCGCCCTCCTAGAAGCATGAGTACCTGAATCATGGAATAGCAATTTTAATCATCTCTGATGCTTCATCAACATTATAAAGTGGCAAGTAGCTAATTTATTGGCTAGACTTGATACTCTTTCAATGACTTTTTATCAAAAAGTGCTTGAGAAACATATTGAAACATATAAGACTAATCCATATATTAGGGGCTAGGGACTTAGCTCAGTGGCACAGCGCCTGCCTGGCAAGTGCAAGGTAGTGAGTTCAATTCCTGGTACTGGAAAAAAAAAAAAAAAAAGACTAATCCATGTATTAATTTACCCCTGAGGGATCTAATCACCATGACCTGTTGTTTAGAGTACAACTATACAGGGGTGTAACTTCTAATTCATGATTTATTCTTACTCTGTATATCCCATGTCACTTCAACTTCTTTGAATAATGTTAGCACTTGGCACCCATCCTACTGTCCTTGCTTCCCAGTTAACAAAACTCAGACCTAGAAAAGCCCAAGAGACTAACTCAGAATTGCATAATGGTCTATGGCTGGAACCCTGGAAACTGTTTTTTTTTAACACCTAACCCTTTCTTCTATATATTATATGTTTTATCAAAGAATTTTTAAACATTCTTATAAGTATTCTAAATATTGGTTCTATTATGCTGAATTATCATAATTTAAATTTTCATAACTTTAATTCTACTTAAGTTAAAGCATAAGTTTTGCTTTAACTTCTGTGTGTGTAAATTTCAATGAGATGTCATGCATACATGACAGTACATCTCTTTAGATGCTACATGCCATGTGTAGAGTACCTTCATGGGTTTTCTTTTTTTTTTTAATTTACAAACCTGAAACTGATTTGTTTGACTTACCACCCAAAATTAAGCAAGAATTACTAATGTATAATGTATTATACATAATGGATAATGTAAAATATATAATCTGTGTAATCCCTCATCCATCCTTTCAAGAATATTTTGTAGATCTCTGCTTTCATAATTTTGTTCTGTGAAAATATAGGGGGTTTACCCCAAAACATAAATTTATAACATAATGTTAAATATTCTTTTTCATACTACACATGTCCCTTTCTCTCTCTCCTACATTCCAGTTTTGGTAACACACCTGCCTCCTACCTTTCCACTGAAAAACTGCCTCATAGATAGTTTGTCTGAGTTCTGTATCCTAAAATATTTTCTTCCCTGAATCACATCAGACAAGTTCTGCTCTGACTTCAGGATTCCAAGAAATCCAGTGTAGGTACATGGCCAACTCCAGACACTTAGGCTGTGAATTACTTATTAGTTTTGTCTCTTCTGGTTCAGCGTTCTCAGTGGAGCATGCTTAAGAATCACCTATGGAACTTAAGTGGAATGCAGAGTCATAGCCTCAGCTGTAAAGCACCTCAGGAATCTCTGCTGTTGATATTTCTCAGGTCCACAGATATACTACAGCAAGGATCAAATGATTTCTGCATTGCAGAGCCTGAGCTAATCATGCCTTATGTGTAATTTCATTAACACCTACTAATGCTATAACACTTATGTAAAACATGTCATAATCCTTATTTTATATGAAAAGAAACTGAGGCTCAGAGAGGTTATATGAATTGCCTTGTGAAAGTCATGGTTTTTATTGCTTCCATTCAACCCCAGCAAAGGATTTGTTGGGGGGAAAGGGTATAGCTTTGTTGAAAATTAGTTGTTTGAGACAATTTTATTTCCTCAAAAATAAAAATTTTATATAGCAGGTACTTCTGGGCCCTGGGGGTGCAGAGCGAGCAGATCAGACATAGTTCCTGCTCCCATGAAGGTTAACTATTATCACATGAACCAAGCATAGCAAATTACTATATAAGCACATCTAGATTAAAATTAATTAGTATTATTTGTTTTTCTGTGTCCCTAGATCTCAATTTATTAGTTAGTAGTTTAAGACTGATTACAATTAATAGAACTGTAGAATCCATAATGGTAAATTAGTCATATTTAAGGTCTTCATACTTTTTACTCCATAGTGTAGGTACCTTTGTGTATCCAGAGGCCACTGAAAATTAGAACCTATGAGACTGTGTGACAAAGTAAAAAAAAAAAAAACAACAACAGACCGGCAGGGGGGGTCTTAAGACCAAAAGTTTTAATGACAGGGATTCTTCCATGTAGCTATGGAAGTATTTGGTATGGGGAAAGTCTCTTACTGTACTTGACCTTTGCCTCATGTATGAAATAAGGGTGTTGTTATAATTCTCAGCGAGTGTTTCATACTCCAGGTGCCTCTGAGTCTATCATGCCCTGAGATGTGAATGAAGGAATTGTTAGGAGTGGTGCTCAAGTCCCGATCTGGACCTTGATTGTGTATTTCTTGCAGGAATACTGTGCTGAGCCTTTGCCTTGAGAATGCAGAGCTGAAAGAGCAGATGGGAGAAGCAATGTCCGACGGATGGGAGATGGAGGAAGACAAGGAGAAGGGCGAAGTGATGGCAGAGACTGCGGTTGCCAAAAGGGGTCTGAATGAGACTAGCCTTCAGGCTGAGTTCAGAAAGCTCCAAGGAAAACTGAAGAATGCCCATAACATCATCAACCTCCTCAAAGAACAACTGGTACTGAGCAGCAAGGAAGGGAATAGTAAATTTAATCCAGAGCTCCTTGTACACCTGGCCAAGGAGATTGACAGAATGAACACAGACCTGGCTGGTTCCCCAGGGAAACACCAACAGCAAGAGGAGGAAGCTGTGACCACGAGGCCTTGTCCTAGACCCCAGAGCCTTGATCTTGGGGCAGCCATTGCAGCTGATGCTCACCAAGTAAGTGAGGGATGGATGGAATGAAAAACAACTGGAGAAGGGCTGGAGATTTCAGTTTTTATCTAAACTTTTCTGTCTTGTGAATGGGGAAGTGTACCTTTGTACCATAAGCAGTAGGTAGTAATAGTAAAGGCACCTATTCAGCTTTAGAAAGGCTTTATAATATGATGTCATAAATATTTCTTAATTAGTTTTCTAGGTAACATGCCAGGCATTGGAAGTGAATAATAAGATTTGATCTGTACTTCAAGATACTCAAATGATGGGGAAAAGGCCATAAAACAGATCATTTTAATAGGATACAAATGCCATAATATTGGGATGTATTGTTTTTTTTTGTTTTTTGGGTTTTTTTGGAACTGGGAATCGAACTCAGGACCTTGTGCTTGCCAGGCAGACGCTTATACCACTGAGCTATATTCCCTGCCCTTATATTGGGTTTTGAGGCAGCCCAGATACGTGGTATCTAATGACACATCTTCCTTATCACTGCTATTTTCATCACAACTTATCACAAGTGTCTCTGTGGGAAGGAGATTTGCCAAGGGCTCGGTAAGATGGAATGTGAAGATTTGGAGAGGAACCCTGGGACAGGAATGCCAGGAAGGATAAGTGGAGGTTTCCACCTCTTCCCTTCCAACACTGAGTAGCCATTTACTGGGAGGTCTTCTGTGGACTGGAGTGGCACTGTGTTATGTGCTGTAGCTATGGAGATGAATAAAACATTATCTCAGCTCTCCAGGAGCTCTGTCTGGAGAGCAAGTAACTGCCAAAAGACATGAGAAGTGCTGTGGCAGACACAGGAGTATAGTTCACAGTGCCGTGAGGAGGGAAGGAGCTGTCACCCAGTGGGAGTGACCTCACTCTGTGCTGATCCCTGTATTGGCCTTTTCATAGCTCAATAACCAACCCCAGGCCCAGGATTGGGGGCCTCAGTCAGAATTTAGCCTGGCGGGGTCCACCAAGCACCTGCGCTCCCAGCTGGCTCAATGCAGACAACGCTACCAAGATCTCCAAGAGAAGCTGCTGATCTCAGAAGCCACAGTGTTTGCCCAGGCTAACCAGCTGGAGAAATACAGAGTCATTTTTAGTAAGTATAACAGTAAGCTCACTGTCACCAAAATCCTTCTTCTGTCTGAGATATTACATGCTTCATACATTTTACCCTTCTGTCCTAATCTCAGAACAAGTTCAGTCCTAACCATAGTTCTGGAACTGTGGGAGTACATATTTTACTTTAATGTGCAGATATCAAAGAGCATTACAGGAAGAAAAGTATGTTTTTAATGTTCTAGTGAGAGCATAGGGAGAAAATGGACTAACAGATAGGTTTGCTGATTTCTGGTGTCATCAATAAATTGCCTTGCCTCTCTACAAAATTTTTTTTCTTTCCTACTTCTCTTTGCACCATGATAGATTCTTTGAAAACATACCATGATTTTGGTGTAGAATCAGCAGTATCCAGTGGACCTTCTTGCAGTGATGGGAATATTCTGTGTCTACATCACATGTGACTGTTGAGCACATGCAATGTGGCTAGTGCAAGTTGTAAATGTTGTTTCATTTAATTTTAATTAATTTGACAGAAAATAGCACATATGGCTAGTAACTGGCTTACTGGATTGTGCTGGTATACATGTCTTGGGGGTCTAAATTAGTCCATCTTTATTCAAACATTTACTGAGCCCCTGGGGATAAAGGCCTTGCTAATTTCATCAGAATTTCCAGAGATCATAGTATGCAGTACCCAACTTACCGATGTCTGTTCTCAACTAAGCCTGGCTTATCAGAAGCAAGATCAGCAGTGGCAAATGCACGCTTCCTAGGGGCAGTAGGGGAGGGTTTCCGCTACCTAGAACAGGTCATTTCTTCTTGCACCTGAGTCCAAAGAAGCATGTGTACCATTCTAGATTTGACTTTGACAGGGTATGTGCCACTGAGGTTGAGAGAGTATGTGGGAAATTCATGTACTCTGTGACACCACTGTACCTTTCTGAGCAGGCGAGTCCCTAGTGAAGCAGGACAGCAAGCAGGTCCAGGTGGACCTCCAGGACCTGGGTTATGAGACTTGCGGCCGCAGCGAGAATGAGGCTGAACGTGAGGAAACTACCAGCCCCGGTGAGTGCACACGCGTGGGGCTTCCTTTCCCTCCCTAGAGTCAGCTGTTCCATTTGGGGTTAGAAGCCACACCCACACCTGATGAGTAGTGGAATGTAGTGGCGAAGGGAACACAGGACCAAAGTAGGACAGAAGTTTGGAGAATTATTGTCCAAAATGAGACTAAATTTGAGTTTGAACTTTTATAATTAGATTACAACATACTGCAGTTAATAAAAATAAAATTTTGTCCAACGTACTGTAATAGAAGAATACTAAGACCTACTTACTAAGGAATAAACTGTATGAGCTTTTAGAAATATATAAACCATAAGATTAAAAAGGTTTTGTTTTGCTTATAAAAAACTGTAATCACAGGGCACCCGCCAAAATGAAACTGAGGAGAAAATCACTCATGATCTCTCTCATTCTTGAGACAATGGGGTGTCGCAGTTAAGATCAGAAATCCTGGGACTAGATTATTTCATTCAAATCTCCATTGTGAGCTTCTGTGTGCCTCAGTTTCCTCATCTGTAAAATGATAACAATGCATCTACCTAACCTATTGGGTACTCCTATCAATTAAATGAGTAAATCTTTACAGAACACTCTAGAACAGGACTTGGACCTATTAAAATGCTATACATTAGTTCTCATTCTGCCTACCACTGACACAAACACATATTAATATGCCAATATATTTCTCAGAGGTATTGTTTTCCTTAGCCTATTTTTCACACAGTTATAACTCAGTAGACTTCAAATCATCATAATACCTGAGAGCATTAAGCTTTCAACATGCAAAACTGTTTAACTTACAGTTCTCATGCCATTCTAAATATGTAAGGCCCATGTTAATACTTTACTTAGGAGACATCAGTGTGTGTGGAAAGGACACAGGACATCAGCAAATTTGAATTCTGGCTCGTCCATGTGCTAGTCGGAGTGATTTAGCCCTAGCTAGCTTACTTCTCTGAGTTTTGGTTTTTCCAGTCAGTTGAGTGGAATGTGACTGTATGTACCTACTAGGCAGACTGTGGGGAGAATAAGAAATACTGTATCTGAATGCCTAGTATAGAGTCAGGGCTAAATAAAGCTTCAACTTTCGAATACTGCTTCAACTTTCACTCCACCATGTACTACCCTTCTGACCAATACTGCTTCCCTCAAAGGGAGAGGCCAGAGCAGTATATCCAGTTTGTATTTACAAAGATGTCTTTGTCCTTTTCAGAGTGTGGTGAACACGACAGCCTCCGGGACACAGTGCACATGGAGGGTCTGTGCTCTGAGCAGGGGTGCCAAGGCCTAGCTCTGGTCAGTCCCCCTGAGAAGAAGCCTTTGGAGAGCCAGCTAGGAAAGCGAGAAGAATTCCATGCATATGGAAAGTCAGAAGACATCTCTGTCCTACGAAAAAACATCAAAGATCTGAAAATCCAGCTTCAGAATGCCAACAAAATCATTCAGAACCTCAAGAGCCGGGTCCGGTCCCTCTCGGTTACAAGTGATTATTCTTCTAGTCTGGAAAGACCCCGGAAGCTGAGGGCTGTTGGCACCCTTGAAGGGTCTTCACCTCATAGTGTCACTGACGAGGATGAAGGTTGGCTGTCTGATGGCACTGGGGCTTTCTATCCCCCAGGACTTCAGGCTAAAAAGGATCTGGAGAGTCTCATCCAGAGAGTATCCCAGCTGGAAGCCCAGCTCCCAAAAACTGGACTAGAAGGGAAGCTGGCTGAGGAGCTGAGATCAGCCTCATGGCCTGGGTAAGGAGAGAACTGCTTGGGACATTACTTAACTGATGGTGCCTAAGTTTGTGTTTGGAACAGGGCAGCTCAGGTAGCGGGAGGGGGAACCTATCAGGGTAATCAGAAGGGCATTTATTTAAATAGCAGCAGGTCTAAGGAATGACAGGTATATCAGCACCAGAAGGGCATCAGATGGTGGCCCAGTGTCTGGGAGCTACCTAGTCTCTGGAATTTCACGTCAGGAATAAATTAGTAAAGTGATAATATGTATGGTATAGGAGAGTAGTAAGACTAGAGTCAGACTTCCAGAGTTGAAATCCTAGCTCTGCTACTTAGTAGCAGTGCACCCTACTTAAACGTTGTGAGTCTAATTGCTTATGTATTAAATCAGAATAATAAAAACTTAACTCAAAGGATGATTCTTAGGTTTGAATTAATATAAGTGCTTAAAATATTGTCTAATACATGGTATTTGCTATAATTATTGTTGTTATTGATTCTTTGCATTGAAAAACTGAGTAGACATCCATATTGTTATCCGTCCTGCTTATCTCTTGCTAAGTAACAAACCGCTTCAAAATGTTGTGCTTTACCATCTCATGATTCTGTGACTGGCTCGGCTGTGCCCCCTACATGGCTGTTGTCAGACGGAAGTTAAGGCTGGAGTTTTCTGAAAGGCGTGGCTGCGCTGTACACAGTTACGAGGCTTCTTTATTCACGTGACTAGTGATGCGATGCTTCCCAGCATCTCTGCCTCTCCATGTGACTTCCTGTCCCACAGGGCTTTTCCTTCTGGTTGGGCTTCTCACAGTGTGGTGTTCTCAGGGTAGCTTCACTTGTACATGACAGGTGGCTTCTAATGTCAGAAGTGGAAGTTGCTAGTCAAGAGCTATTCCTAGATTTGGCACGATGTTAATGTCTGCTGTATTATCTAAGTGGTCACAAAGGCTTCCCAAACTTAAGAAGGTAGAGAAGAGCCCTTGTCTGCCGATGGAGGACTGACAAAGCCATGTTGTAGGAGAGCACGTGGAATGGGGGATTATATAATGGCCATCTTTGCAAAATATAGCAGCAGAGAAGATACTCATGATTCAGACAGTGCTTGAAATAGATGACATAGAGGTCTTATCCAGATTTAGTATTAGGTGATTCTTAGCACTTATTATCTGCTATAAGTCAAACTGATGCTGCATGAAGTGCAAAATATGGCCTTGTCTTCATTCTCACAGAACTTATGATTTACTTGCAGATATATTGATTAATGCATATAAAATAGTTGAAGAAAAGCACAATCCTAAATTTTTTGATATCGTAGTTTCTCAGAATAGAATTTACTCTTAACCACCTCGTATGGGTTATATGAATTCAGCTTGGTGGAGCCCTTCGATATATTCTCACAGAAAGCTCCCATACCTTGTCATTCACTCTCTTCCATTTTTCCTCTCTCCTGTCTTTCCTATATTAGAAAATATGATTCCCTGATTCAGGATCAGGCCCGAGAACTCTCCTACCTACGGCAAAAAATACGAGAAGGGAGAGGTATTTGTTATCTTCTCACTCAACATGCAAAAGATACAGTAAAATCTTTTGAAGACCTCCTAAGGAGCAATGACATTGACTACTACTTGGGGCAGAGTTTCCGGGAGCAACTTGCTCAGGGAAGTCAGCTGACTGAGAGGCTCACCAGCAAACTCAGCACCAGTGAGTTGGCCACAGGGCTTTAAAATACATTTACTTTTTAATTCCAGGCCCAGGTGGCCACAGTATCTCCACTGCACAATTTTCTCCCAGGGTCCAATTCCTGCTTCATCTCCTGAGGGCTGTAAAAGGGTCAGGACTGAACACTGAGGAGCACCAAGAGGAAGATGCTGGGTTGGAGAGACTTACAACTGTAGAGACTTTATCACATGCGGAATGTGATCTTTAGAGCAGGAGATAACATCCTTCTAGTGCTAAGCAGGGAGAGGAGATGAGCTCAAATGGCACTGCTACAATGAAAAGAGCCCTGAACTATGAATTGAAAGATTCCAGCTCTAGAGTAGATGTCACCATCAACTTGCTTTGGGCAAATGACTTATCCTTTTGTTGTCTCTATTTCTTCATTTGTTGCATGGTATTACACATGCATGTGCTTCAAATGTGAATAAAGCACTGTGTCTGTTGGACATAGTTAAGGCCGTGGCTGCAATAGCTTAAGGGTTATATTGGTTATTGTTAAACTCTTTTACTTAGAGAGAAATCCTGGGAGAACCGGAGGGGATATAAAAGGCTTTGATTTGAGGGCCAACCAGCCCATCTACTGGTAGCAGGTACATAGCTGGACAGGACTGTTGGTCATCTCCTCAGAAACAGAATAAGTGTATATGAAAGTGGTGATGAGACACATAGCTATGAGTGTGGGAGTCAATGTGTGACAAGACATGAGGGCTAGAGTGTTCCAGACGGCAGCTGAGCATGAGTCTCATGATCATTGAGACAAATGATATTTCAACTTTTTGTTCTGATTCAGGGCAGATGAAGTCATGAGGGTGATCACAGGTCAAGGACAGTCTGCCTGGTGAGCTCAGGCAAGCCTGCCAGCTCACTTTTCAAAAAACAACCCTGAGGCCACCTAATGATTATCGTGGATACCTGTGTAATCACTGTTCTGTACCTGAATAAACCCCTGTACTTATAATGTATGAAGTGGGACCTGTTTAATTTCTATTGCTTCTTTCTGAATTTGGTTTGCAGAGGATCATAAAAGTGAGAAAGAAAAAGCTGGACTTGAACCACTGGCCCTCAGGTAATTCAAAAGAGAATCGATAAAGAAATCAAGACCAGGGCCCAAGGGCTCAAGGGTAGCCACAACTTCACAAGTCAGAGGGGAAAAAAGAAAAAAACCTCAATGTGATGAATTCATTTATTCATTGAACACCTTACTGTTGTTTATAACTGTATTCTTTCTTCTTTTTCAATATAATTCTATTGGAATAATATAATTTTTGGATATAATTTTATTGGCATAATATAATTGTACTGGCATTTTGTTGTCAAGCTTAGTAACATGGATATAGCATAACCTATAAGTGAACTAAGTAGGTTTCAAGAGTCTTCTCATCCCCAGGACCCTTCCCTGCCCTCTGTGCCTCATGTATTTAATGACCAGGGTAAGCATTTTGCAAGGTTGACCTGCCTTGAGTTGGGCTGACAGCCAGCTTAAAAGTCACCCAATTTCTTTGAAGAAGAAAGAATCACATGACTGTGCCTATTGAAAGGGACCTGGATGGTGCATGGTTTATACCTCAGTCAACTAGATGATTCCACTCTTGGGTGTCAAGGCAATGCTTTGTTACATGCTTTTTCAATGTTTACTTTCAATTTTTATATTTGACTTGTTAGAAATGATAACAAATAGTTTTCAGACTGCAGCTATTCAGGGGCCATTCCTTAAGCAGCAGTCTCTTACAGGACTGGCCGTGTCTCCACCGGTCCCCAGCATACTATGTGGCCAGTGCACTAGGTAGCTACAGTTCTGACTCCATCTCTCTCCCACTTACACTTCACCCTTAATTAGAGATGAGTTATTTCCATTATTTTCTACAGAATGGTCCCCTTGGCTTACATGGTTTTTTCCCATAAGTATTAGTCAGGACTAGGTAGTCTGGGTGACCTTGGTTTTACCTGTTGTTCACCTCACTGTCCATCCAGGCTCAGCATGGAGCTGCAGGAGAAGGAGAAAGTGATTGAAGTCCTGCAGGCCAAGCTGGATGCCCAGTCTCTCTCACCTCCCAGCAGCCATGCCTTGTCTGACTCCCCCCGCTCTCCCAGCAGCACCTCCTTCTTGTCTGATGAGCTAGAAGCCTGCTCTGACATGGATATAGCCAGCGAGTACTCTCACTATGAAGAGAAGAAAGCTTCACCTGGTCACTCAGGTAGCCTCCACTTTCTGAGTGGTGCCATCTCTCTCTAGGGTGAGAGGAGACCTTGGGGGGACCAGGCCTGTAGCTCTGCCTCAGCTCTGTCAGGCTGAACGTGGTTCTAGGATAAACAAGCGCCAAGCACAGGCTCCTTTGGGGTAGGATCTTTGCTCTGCTTCTGACTCTACATGTTCCTTTGTCATCCTAGCCTCCACCAGCACATGTGTGCTATTGAACCCAAGATGGAGAGTGAGAAGATGGCAAAAGGCTTTTCTTTCTCCCTGAATTTGTCTGATAAACCTCCCTTTTTAAGATGGAGCATCTTACACCTCCTGCAATAATCTTTCTACTTGCAGTTCCTGAGCAGCGTCCCCTGAGTATCTGTGGGTGTCTATAGATGTTATCAGTCTTGTCTGATATTTTTGGGAGGTGCCATTTTCATTATTTCAGTGCTCTGAGGCCTACTATTACCTTTAAAGTTTTTTTTCTCCCCAAAGTTTCTGTCTTAAACCAAGAAAATGAACACTGAAATAGTGCTTGTGCTTGGAGCATTACATTACAGTAAGACTCTAGCTCTGGTACTCCTGATTAAATTATCAGGCCAAGACTCCAGTTCTCTGTAGAACACCAAACATTTTCTTTCATTCATGGGTTTTATAGATACCATCCATCATTCGAGTCATTCTGCTGTATTATCTTCTAAACCACCAACAACCAGTGCATCTCAGGGGGTTAAGGCTGAATCGAGAAGCAACTCCATCAGCTTGCCAACTCCCCAGAGCGCCCCCAAGGAGGCCGTCCAGGCCCATCCAGGTATGCAACAGTCAGTGGGGCAATAGCTTCATCTCCTATTCCTGAGCAGCCTGTTTGACTTTGACTCGGGGGCAAAGGTATAAACTGTCAGCGCCCATATGCGTCACATCCTAGACAAAACTCGAGACCATCTTCAGTCACCAACTATGTCTGATTTTTTAAAAAGTATTTTATAGGAAAATAACTAATCCACAACAGGCTTTGATTTGTAAAACAGTTTTGATTATAGTTAGCTAATAATTATCAAATAAATGTGCCCCTTTTCTCATTTCACACTGGAGAACAAAGAGGCAAAATATTTCTTATAGGATTACAACAGCCAAAGAATGGAGAGGAATTCATATCTACTAATCCCATATGCATGTTACCCATGTAATCTGTACAGTGGCCCTCTGCAGGTGTTCCAGCTTACTTCATAGCTAAATTCTGTTCATTTTGCATCACCATGCATGGATTTATGAAAGAACTGGAATCCCTGATACATCTATGGTACATATCCAGGGGGAGTTAGGGGGTGCATTTTGCTTACATTTGCTGATATAACTATCAAGGGCTGCACTGACCACTCATAGCTCTGCACCAGGGATGGCAGGGAAAGGGCCATCTGTGTCTTCCCCTCTTGCCTCCCACCACAGCTGACTGGCTGCCTTTATGGTGTTCATGGTGAAGTCTGACTTGGGTAGAGGTGCTCCCAGAAAGCGCAATGCTTTCTTCTGCTGACCCCGTCTCTCCGAAGGGCCATTCCACAGTTGTAAGGAAGAGGAAATGTCCTGGTCTACTGGAGCATGGGCTCAAAGTTTCTGGGCCAAACTGGGCAGCAGCTGGACCAGTGGATAATGGGATGAGGCATGCAGAGCTCTTTACCCAGGGCTATAGACAGCTGCTTAAATGCTTTCAATTCAAACATAGCAGAAGGTCAGTTTTAAACTCAGAATGCCTCCCCAAAAGATGCCTTGGCTAGTATGTGACAGTTTGGGGTCTTTGCAGTACTCCTCTGGCATGGTGTCAGCAAGATGGGCAAGGGATGTGTTTTAAAATGTAACCACTGTCTTCTACATTAGACGTCCTCCGTAAGTGGATCCTGAATTATGCTCTCTCCTTTGTCTGTTTCCCCGCTAACTGCTTTTAGGAAAGAGGAGACAGAATCAAACACTGAAACTTCCCAGTGTCCTAAGGACTTGTCTGTAGTTTGGCTGCATAAAGATCACCTGGGAAGATTTTTTTAAATGCATATTTCCAAGCGCTACTCCCAGAGTCTATGGTTCTGTTGGTCTGCCTTAATAATAAAGAATCTGCGTGTATTAAAAGTTTGTCCTAAGTGATCCAAATACCCATACAGGTTTGTGTTGTGTCTCCACCACTTCACCAAGATATTTGTTTTTCATCTGTGGATGAAAACATTGATTTGGGTGTCTAAAGTTTGTTTCTATCAGAGTCCTAAATTGCATGTACTGTACTAGTAATGCAAATTTTCCTACAGCCCCATACTCCTTCCTTCCTCAGAATAGATCCTGCTTTCAGAAGAGCAGTTCTAGCCATCAGGAGACATTTGTGCCAGGGCAAAGACCGGTACCTGCTGGGAGTAGCAGCTCTGGTGCCTTTGAGAGCAGTCAGGCACAGCCATTCTGATATGGGGTGGAGTAATGCCATCTTGCCTTCTGTAGCTGACTGGTTTCAAGATGAGCCAAGAACATGTGTGCAGGAAATCCCTGGCAGGGGCGGAAGCAGAGATCAGCCAGGCCAGGATCCCTGGAGCAAGAATCGCCTTTAGCCAGCTCAGCCTGCACCATGTTAAGTGCCACCCCTTCCCCTGGTGATGTTGTTGGGTCGTGGAATGGTTCACCATCTTAGTCTTTTACCCATACTTTTATCTCCTCTTCTCTCTAATGATGTGTCTCCTTTTCCCCTAATTTTCTGTTTCTAGGCTTTCATTTTAACTCCATACCCAAGCCGGTTAGCCTCCCCCAGGCACCATTGCCCTCAGCTCCGACCAGCTTCCTGCCTTTCAGCCCCTCTGGTCCTCCCCTCCTTGGCTGCCGTGAGACACCGGTGGTGTCCTTGGCCGAGGCTCAGCAGGAGCTGCAGATGCTGCAGAAGCAGTTGGGAGAAAGTGAGCACTCCTGCTGCCTTTGTGTGCTTGCGAGTGGCAGCCCCGTACTGTGTTGCTCTGCATGGCTTTGGTGTGACAGCAGAGTTGAAAAAAATTAGAGGAACATGTTATATCCTGAAGATTGAAGAAAAACTCTGCTTGCTTTTTTTTGTTTGAAATGTATTCACTGCTACCTTTCTGACGCGCGTGTTTCATCAGTTACCAGTTATATATGCTCAGAGGATCTAGACCTGGTGCTCATCCACTTTTGACAGAGTTGGGTACCATCAAGTATGCTGAATCCTGACAGCCTGGGAAAATACTTCCCTCAGGGAGTGGCAAAGAAATTCTATGCATTGCTTATGCAAGATGACCTGGTCATAAAAAAAGATGGCCACATTTATGAGCTCTCTCTATATCTCCTGCTATGAAACACTTTTAATCTTATTTAATTCCTGATCATCAGCCTGAGTTTAAAAGGGTGCTGATAGATTCAGAAGCAGAAGGGACAGGGTCCCTTTTCTTGTTGTGCAGGAACAAGGTTCGTCCCCTCTCTGGGATATAGGAGACTTGTGGATAGCAGAACCACAAGCACAGGACTGTGGATTCCATCCTTTTTATTCTCTGACTTCCAAGATAATTAGTTTTGTTTTGTTTTGTTTTGTTTTTTTTTCAGTACTAGAGGTTGAACCCAGGGCCTTTGCATTGAGCTACATGCCCAACCCTTTTTATTTTCTAAGACAGGGTCTTGCCAAGTTCAAGTGAGGCTCAAACTTGCAATCCTCCTGCCAAACCTCCCAAAGACAAACCTTATGCAATCACATAATTCATGGACTGTGTAAGTCATCTTTTAGAAAAGGATTTGATTGTATTTACCAATAAATACAGGTCTGGAAGAGGTTGGATGCCTCATTGTAAAATTTTGCATGTTTGCTCTCACTTTTGGTTGAGAAAAAAAGGAAAGAAAAATCTTCACATGATGAATTTACTCACTAGCCTTTATTTCTTTTGTTTGGTTTGGTTTGTTTTGGTGCTGGGAATTGAACTCAGGACCTTGCACTTGCCAGGCAGGCACTTGTGCCACTGAGCTAGATCCCCAGCCTCCAGTAGTTACTTCTTGAAAAAAAAAAAAAAAACAAACAAACCTAGAAAACAGCTTGAAATTACCTTAAAATCACATGCAGTGCCTCTGATGAAGCTTGCTAACCCATACATTGATGGTGAGGGTTATCATGTCAAGGGTGTTCAGTGACCAGAGATCACAGCCAATTATTTTTGCTCCTGAAGCCCCCAGTATCATTTGGATCAGACTGGTTTTTTCTTTTTTTGTTAACCCTGAAAATAGATACTTTGTTTAGTCTGCTTCCAGAGTACTGACTGTTGTTGTTGATAGACTTGGAACCTCCCATGACTTTGGTTAAAGAGTGAATTGATTTTCAACAACTACGATTGCTCCCTTTTCCTTGGGTTAGGTGAAGGTGAAAGAGTGTGAGAGAAAATACATCTTTCTTGACTCCCTCTTAAAATTTAGGTACTTAAGCTTTTTAGTCTCTCTTTAATTCTCAATTATCCCAATGAACATTTAGTACTTTGCAAATTGGAGACAGAAAGACCCATGATGATACTTCTTAAAATTAGCTGCCTATTTATTAGAATCTCCTGGATGATTTTTGAAACATCCAGGGCTTGCGATATGTATCTCATATCTATTAAAGTTAACTCTTTGGAGATCCACGTAACAGTGTGTGTTTGTGTGTATGTGTGTATATTTACATTTTCTCAGGTGATTCAACTATGTAGCCAAATTTGAGAACAAGATACAACTGGGGATAAACCTTGGCAAATGCTAATTGTAGTAAAATTGTGAACTCACTCCTGTTTGCTTAGGGAGAGCTGCCTGTCTATTCTGCTTCCCTCGTTGATATTCCCGGAAGAAAAGCAGTCTGAATTTTCTAACGTACCACCCTGTCCACTTCTTCTCCCTCCCCTTTCTGCTAGGATTGCTTTTTATAACTTAGAAGCAGAGATTTTTTTTTTTTAATAAAGCCTCCTCCCTTGGAATGGCATTCAGTGATTCTTTGGGTAGATGTCATGATACTTTGCATTCTTCAGTTATGTTGGACGAGACCTGAATCACTAGGGATTTCTGAGCCTCAGCAATAAGGTGTTTCAGCTTGCAGGAATTAGGCCTTCCTATCCAGCCATATCCAGGTGGATTTTATATTCCCTTTCTCCTCTGAAAACTTAAAAAGAGGAAGGGACTGGTTAGCTCTAGGGCAAGCAAACACTTTTAGGCAAATAAATAGTACTGTTTGCAGGTGCCCTCAATCTTGTATCCCATTACACTCTTGATCTCTAGCTTTGGGAGTGAACGCAACTTTCCTGGACTCTGTCATGGGCAATTATAGTAGAGGCCAGGAGTGGGGCCCCTGGACTTTTCCTTTGTGTACACAGGTGACTTTGCTCAACCCCTTGGTACCTTATACCAAGAGAATACAAAGAGTGCAAGTTATACTCTAGATAACAAGTCTTCATTTCACTGGTACCCTGCATGGACTAGGATCTCTGGCATCACACATGTCCCCGGGAAGACTCAATTCTTAGCAGTCACATAGGCTTTGCTGATTTTTCTTTTCTGACACTGTTTCTCACTTCTGTTTCTTTCTGCTCAGGTGTCAGCGCTGCTCCTTCTGCTTCTGCAGCTATATTGCCAAGCAACCATTTGGAAGCTAGCTCTTCCCACTACCTCAATCCTGCCCAGCCTCACCCTTCTCCACGGGGCACCGTAGAACTGGGCAGAATCCTGGAATCTGGGTACCTGAGTAACGGTGGCCGGTGGGACATGATGAGGCCTCAGAAAGGGAGTGTGTCTGGGGACATCTCCTCAGGTTCCTCGGTGTACCACCTTAACTCCAAACCCACAGGTAAAGCACGGAGCTGAGAGGACCCGTGTTTGAAATGACCTTATTCAGTTTACTCCTTCCCTACCCAAACAGGGCTTTTTCTTTCCTCCTCTAATCACTGGCATCAGAGTATGAGTAGGAGGAAGAGGCTATCTCAGTGCTTGACCCTTTACAAATGTGCCCTGACTTTCTCCCTGCCCAAGGCCACAGTGTCCTGCGGAGACATGGGAAAGTCAGGGACTCACCTCCCATATTCTCACAGTTATGTTCGTCACTTTTTTGCACCCTGACCTCTTCATACCCTATTCTCTCAGAACTCTCTAGAAGGCCAGGCAAAGACATGTTCAGGGTCTTTCTCCCATCAGTCGGGAGTTTTACAGAAAGGGACACATGACTCCCAACCATACATATGTCCTGTGTACAAAACCCAATCACACAATGTGGAGGAGTGTAGGTAAGCAGAGAAATGTGGGAGTACAGTGTAATTCTAACAATAAGATGGTTGTCATCTTCAGAAAAAGACAGAACCCAAAGCAAAATGGCACAATTGATCCAATCTGTTGTTAGTGTATCTCCTACTTTTCAACATCTATTTCCTTTCCTTGCAGGTGCTCCTTCCTCATCTCCAATCCACTTCATATCCCTAGATCCATGTAGGCTGTCCTTTCTCCCTCCCACACTGAAAGTAATTTCATGGAAACATCCAGTATCGGTAATTAACCACGTAGGATAAGTTCAAGATCATGTACTCTCTTACCTTAAGCCTTCTCTGTAAAGGTAGAGGAAGGACTTTGCCCCTTGCTAGAAAATGTTCAATCATATTTTGGTAAGAAGAAGGCAAAGTGAGTCTTTCTCTATCATTCTCAAAGCCACACCTAGGAAGTAGCCACACCTTTCCAAATGGTAGGCAGGCCCTGTCCAGAGGCGTCAGTATTTTTGTAAAACATGTGGTACTCTGTTTCACTTTCCAGACCTCTGTGTGGGAGGAGGCTCATGGCGTTTCCTTGGCAAGGGACCATCCTATTCTTGACATGCCATTTACTCTTTACACAAGTTACCTGGTTCCCCTGGGTGCCTGTTTGAGAGGATGTAGTTGGCAGAAGAGTAGTAATGTTTAGAGATCATACTGATAGGCTATTGGTCAAGCTCTGTCTCCCACCCCCAATAACCTAAATTCTCATTTCCCCCTTCTCTCCACATACTGATGGGATGGCTGCAGGGGCTGACTTGCTGGAAGAGCATCTGGGTGAGATCCGGAACCTGCGCCAGCGCCTGGAAGAGTCCATCTGCATCAACGACCGCCTGCGGGAGCAGCTGGAACACCGGCTCAGCTCCACTGCTCGAGGGAGTGGTAGGGGCCCAGTTTGTCCCATTTCTAGCTGTATTTAGGGAGCTTCTGAAGGGAAGCCCTTAGGCAGAGTTTCAAAGTCCTCAGAGGACTTTGGATATGCTCTACTTGTTCCTTGTAGACAGTCTAGCCAAGGAAGTGGGGCAAGTACTGTTATTCCACCTTAAGAATGTATCTGAGTTTAGAGAGTAACGTTCCTCAATGCAGAACTAGGTTCCCGTAGTTTCCTGACATCTCACCTCATCCTCAATCTGTTTCCAAGCTCTTTGCTGATCCTCTGTGTCCTTGTGATTGGCAGGTTGTTACTTTCCATGTCTGAAAGAGGCCTCCCTCTTTTTCTAGATGCCCTTCTCCCTACACTCAAATGCCCAAGCTGCTGTTGCTTGGAGGCCACCTTTCCCCGTGTGGATGCCCTCTAGCACAATTATAGCTGTAGCATGTGATAATCACATGTAAAGAATCCACTGAAAAGAGGCACACATAAACTGGAGTTGAGTCAACTTTGCAAAACCAGCCTTGAGTCTGTTGTGCTTTTGTTAGTCCCAGCTTTGTGTCCCAAGGCTTCCTTCTGAGTTGGGACCATACATCTTTAGGAGATACAGAACGGGAAACTTTCTAAAGCATCTCTCATCCAAATGCGTGTTTTCTGGGACAGGATCCACCTCTCATGTCTACAGTCAAGGTGTGGAGTCCATGCCTCAGATCTACAATGAGAATAGAGTCCTCAGGGAAGAAAACCAGAGGCTTCAGGCACAGTTGAGTCACATTTCTAGAGGTGAGTGGGCAAAAATTACAAATTGTGGTTCACTCCTAGGTCTCCTTCTTCCTTGACCACATGAACTACCAATTTGAGAAGCAAAGTGATAATTACCCAGATCCACCAATCCAAGATGCTTGTAGCTATTCTGTGTACAAAGAGCCACTTCCAGAGAAGTCCCATGGACCCTCAGTTTCTGAGGCTCTAGGCTGAATGGCACTGGGAAGTCCATTGCTCCTATAAAGTCCACCTGCACGTATCCAGAGTCACCAGCTATAAATGTGTTTGTCAGTTTGGGATCTATATTAGTCAGCTTTCCTATTCCTGGGACACAAAATCCAACACTCACAACTTAAAGAAGGAGAGTTTCAGTTTGACTCATATTTTACAGGGGATTCAGTCCATGGTCTTCTGGCTCCAAGGCAGAAACATCGTGGTGGGAGGGCATGGCAGAGGAAAGTTGCTTTCCTTGTGGCCCCCAGAAAGCAGGGAGAAAAGAGAGATATACCCTCCAAAGATGTGCCCCCGGTGACCCAACCAGATCCTACTTCCAGTACACTCAGCTCTGACCTCATCAATGGATTGGTGCACTGATGAATATAACACCCCTATGATCCGATCGCCTCCCAAGAGTCCCACCTCAGAACACATTAGACTTTTGGAGGCCATTCTAGATCTAAACTATAATAGGACATGATTTATCTATTCTCACAGCTGATTTGGACCCTATGAAAAGAAGGAACATGTTGTGACCCTTATCCTCCGGGTCACTGTTGATCTCATCTTTGAGAATATGTGATCAAAAAGATGCTGCCTTCCCAGAAAAGAACAAAGAGCCCCATTTTTTAAAATGACAAATACAACATATTCTAAAAACCACATTTATTCTAAAAATAAATCTTATTGATCTTTGGCAAAATTAAAATAGACTTTTGAACAAATGGTATGTGTGCATCTGGAAAATGGTGAACTTTAGAAACAAGAATATTTTCTTTAAGAATGAAGGAGGCCATGATAGATCAGAGCATGAGGACACTGTACAAACAGAAGTGCACAGCTCCCGGTATGTGCGGGATACGGTGAATGCAGCACTTGGCCTACTGGTGCAGAGCCTTCTTATCCCTCTCCGAAGTTCTGCTTGTCAGGGCAGGTGTGCTTTGGCTCATGTCCTTGCGGGGCTTTGGTACCACATCACGCACTCCTGTGTTCTGCCCACAAGGGCATTCCCAGGAGACAGAGTGCTTGAGGGAGGCTCTGCTCTCCTCGCAATCCCGGCTTCAAGAGCTGGAGAAGGAAGTGGAGCAGCAGAAGGTGGGGCGGCAGCAGCTTTTGGAAGATTTGCAGGAGAAGCAGCAGGAGATCGTGCACTTTAGGGAAGAGCGACTGTCCCTCCAGGAAAATGACTCCAGGTAAGAGGGGCCCTGTTGATAGGGAAGGTGGTCTCATTCAGCTTTAGAAAAAGGGAATATTAGCAAGACAGTAGTGTCCTCTTGGAAACCTCACTTTCCTCTTTATTATTCCTACTTCATGGGTGACTTTGAGCAGATAGGAGGCCTGTGTCTGGGAATGCCCTTACACTCCAAAGTGGAGGGAATGAAACTCTGTTGTAGAAGGCTTCTACATATCAGAGACTGGACAAAGAACATTCCCATGCGTCCAGTCAGATTCAAGGTTGTATTCTCACTGTTATCTGGAGGCTGCAACACCAGCACGAGTCTGAGTGATGCTTGTCTCCAGCATAAGCCCTGCAACTGCCTGTCAGCAAGGTGAGCGCTGCAGGAGCAGTGAGGAGATGGCTGGTGTGTCTTTCCTCCTCTCTGAGGTAGCTAGTGCTAAATCACTGTACCTAGTTGACTGACTTTCTGAGCCCTGAGTTGACATCTGGGGCTAAAACTCTGTGAGGCAAAGATGGGCTCACAGGTTAATCCTGGTGTGGCTGAATGGCCCTGCCAGCCCCGTGGGCCCTTGCCTCTCCTTGGCAGGCTGCAGCACAAGCTGGCCCTCCTGCAGCAACAGTGTGAAGAGAAACAGCAGCTCTTCCAGTCCCTGCAGTCGGAGCTACAGATCTATGAGGCACTTTATGGGAGTTCCAAGAAGGACCTGAAAGGTAAGTGTTCCCTCTCCTTCTTCCCTATGAAAGGCAAGTGGAAGGTGGTGTTGTCATGAGTAAGATCTATCTTGGGTGCCCTTAACAATAGCCCACAAGAATCAAACGTCACCATTTAGATGGCAAGGAACAAATTAATCAGTGAGCAGATTTTTTGCCCAAAAAACATGGCTCTGTGTGTGTGTTTTTTAAATGCAAAGAACTTTTCTAGAGCTGTTGTCATTTGAAAAGGCCTTAAGTATTATAAATAACATATAATGACAGCCATGCTGCCAGCGTAACAGACATTATTTTCTACCCTGACCTATTCCCCAATGAAAAGATAGAGATTCAAAACTAAAAACAAAAGAAAAAATATTTTATAAAATACTATACACTAATAGGATTTAAATTTCAGGCATAATTGATAGGCAAATACTAATTGATTATATTGAGGATGTTTGCCATCTACTGAGGTAATAAACTAACATTTAAGAACCTGTATTTCTCTATTTGTCTTCTGCAGCTTGAAAGGGGTATTTAAAGCATGATGTGAGCAAGTCACAGTGGTCTTAGTTACTTCCTTTATCACTGGCACCAAATACCCAATAACCACAAATTAAAATAGGAGAGGTTTATTTTGACTCACATTTTGTAGAGGTTTCGGTCCATCGCAGGGGAGAGGACCATAGCAGAAGAATAACTGCTCATGCCATAGTATCCAAGAAGCAGAGGGACCAAGAGAGGACCTAGGAAGGGAGATATAACCTTCCAAGTCACACCCACAGTGATCGCCTCTTCCAGCCAGGCCCCACCTCCAGCAGCAAGTCAGCTATAGCATCCTTATAATCCAGTCACCTTCCAAAGGTCCCGCTTATGATCACATGAGGCTTTAGGAAAGTACCTAGGTATAAACCATAACACAGTAAGTATAACAGAGAGTGAGTATCAATGTGATGAAGTTTAGCAATGATATAAAAATAAAATTGTAAGCTTGATTTAAAAATATCAGTGATAGAAGTATAGGATGGGGAGACTGGTTCTGTAACCATTCATGGGTTTAAGGGTAAGGGAGTTTGGCACAAGGATATTATACAAGGGCTTCTGGAAAAGCCAACTCAACCTGAGATCAGAATACTGTGAATATGATGTCCATGGTGAGACCTCACTTAATATATAGTTAGATTTGGGGTACCATCTTGTAAAATGGACTTTGGCATACTACAGAGCTTAGTGGAGACCAGGACCACAATGATATGCAACTGGAAATCCTGAACTGATCAAAGAATATAAATGGTTTTTAGCCTTGGAGAAGATTATAAGGAGATGAGAACTTGCTTCAAGTATGTATTTGCAGAACGGTCATGTAAAGAGCTCATGTGTTTTGTGGCCTTCCATTGACCTAAACAAAGAGTGAATGGTAGAGGAATTTAGGTTAGAATTTTTACTGGGAAATATGAATTTTCTTGAAACAGGATCTACTTTCCTAGTTTGCTAGAACTCAAAGTTCCAGGCTGAGAGAAGAGTTACTGTACAAAGCCTGGATAAGTATTGGGTCAGAGGGGAAACCAGCTTGGGGATGGGAGAAGCTTGATATCAATGGAATGAGAAGTCAGGTTAGTGGGAAGGAGTCTTGAGTCTATAAAAGCCTCTATGTCAACATAAAGTTTATATGCAATGAAATACCTTTTTCTTAACAAAAGTTAGCATATGACAAAAACAGAAGTTTAAGATGCTGTATCTAAGAAACATACTAGAGGTATGAGGAGACGTTATGATCTGGGAAATGTATTGGATGAATGGTGATTTAAGGAACATTAAAAGATAAGAATCTAATATAAGGTGCTATTGGGAAAATAAGAGGAAATGGATGTATGTAAAAATGTTTCAAAAAGTAATAAGTGAAACTTAAAATTTGGATCCAGGGAAAGTGGGAGGTATATCGTGAATCTCGGGATTAATTTCTGAAGCCACCAAAGCCTGAAGTGAATCAACTTTTATGCCATTCTTTCAGTTCATGGGTCTTTTAGAATTCATTTCAAGCTATTAGCACTAAAGCTCCATAATCTCTAATTTTTACTTCCAAAATCCATTAAGATATCTAATTAAAAGCTTTTTCATAGAGTCATTTGTTGAGAAAACTTAACTGAAATGACCAGAGGATGTTCATAGTCTTTCTTTATGTACTGAATGAGAATGTTCGCATTCATGAGAAATACTCTGATAGTCTGGTAAGGGTTGTGGGGCAGATGCAACAGGGTACAAATAGTGTTAAGTACGTATGGCACATGTGCTCTTTTGCCTTGCCAAAAAAAAGAACCAGCTCTGCCTTTTGAAATACAGTTGGCTTTAAGGTTTTCAGATAAAGGATTGTGGCCCTACAGAATATTTCTCAGGTCTCTTCACCATAGTATGTAGAAATATGAGTGTGATGAAAAACATGGGGAAGTTGAAAAGTTTGCTTAGTTAGGACCCTTGCTCTATGGTGCCCGGCTCCCATTCTTACATGTTCTCAAAGGTCTTGGTGCGTTCCTCCCTCTTCTGTTTGATTTCTGAGTCTGGTGGTCTCTTGCTGTCTGAGTCCTTGCCCTTCTGCAGTTCACTGCTGACCTCTTGCCTTCAAGAACCCTGTTGTCTAGCCTTCAGGACTAAAGTTAATAAGGAAATGAAATAATAATCTTGTCATTGTCTGCTAGTCAAGTGCACTCTAGAGGCAAATGAGTAATTTGGGAAATTCCACAATGGATATGTGCCACCTCAGTGGGCCTTAGGTGGGTTCATCTCTAGCATAAATGTGTTGGCCAAGAGCTGAGATTATAGTGGGCTCCTTGGCAGAAGGTAGTATCGCAGAGCAGTATTCTCCCAAGTGCTTGGAAATACTACTTGGGTCAGCGCCCCTCTCTCTTCTTTCAGCTTTCCACCTGGATGCCTGTTGCCAAGTTCCTTTGAGCAGTGACTTGAACCACCTGGTGGCAGAGATTCGAGCTCTGAGAGGGCAGCTGGAGCAGAGCATTCAGGCGAACAATTGTCTGCGGCTGCAGCTGGAGCAGCAATTGGACAGCGGTGCTGCGAAAGCCAGCCTCAGCCCCTCCTCCCTTAGCCAGAACTTCCCAGTCAATGACCCTGGAAACAAGCAGCTGCCCTTCCAAGGTAAGAAGGGAAGGGGCATGAGGGCAGTCAGTGGGGAGGCACCCAGGTGTTCGTAGTGGGGAGGCACCCAGGTGTTCGTAGTGGGGAGGCACCCAGGTGTTCGTAGTGGGGAGGCACCCAGGTGTTCGTAGTCTCGCCTCACCAGTGCTCCCCGGCATCAGGTTCAGGTCGGAGAAGCTTTAATGTGGCATAAGGGTATAGGGTCAGATTTGTCTCTAGTTCTGCGTTTGCCACGTACATATTGTTTGCTTTGGGAAGAGTTTAAACTACCAGCTGTTCAAGTCTTAGTTTGCTCAACTTGGAGGTTATGTGATTATTTGGAGCATTAAATGAAGTAGTTTTCCAGTGCCCAGCACAGTATGAATTGTTCAATACTTGACAACATGTATGTTGACATCTTCCCCATGTATGTGTGTAGCAATCTAAAATTTACTCTTTTAAAATAATTTTATTTGAAGCAGTGTAGGCTATCTCTTTATTTCATTTGAGAAAACTGAGGTGTAAGTGGACGAGCAAAGGTTTATAGGAGTTAGAGACAGAACCAGGATTAGAAACAGATGCTTTGATTCCTATTCTGTGTTCCTTCTACCTCACCATGCTCTGTCTCAGTCTTACTGATCTTCCCAGACTGGGCTGGCTTTTCTTTCTCTCTCAAGGGAAACTTGGAGTGTGGCAAAATGTCTCTGCCCCTAAGGGAAGCAGGGCTTTGAGAAAGTACATCAGTTCCAGGTGGTAGACGTCCACTTCTTGGCTGCCTCTTCCAGTAATCATATAAACCAGATCTCTCCCTCTTTCCTCAATTTGTTTCAATCTTAATTTCTCTCCATTTTAATGTGAATGTTAATAGTGCCCCCACTCCCCAGTTTCTTGACACATTAAGCTTCTACTTCCTCTTGTCTTTTTTCTTTAGATGCACCATTTAATTTATTCTCTCCACTCATCTCCATGGCTAAATCCTCAATTTTCTTCTAATGAGGAGCCACTTCTGCTCAGGTCTTTCTAAGGCAGGTCTTTCAAACTTTTGTGCCTGAGCCTGGCATGGTGGCATATGCCTGTAATCCCAGCACTTGGGAGGCTGAGGCAGGAGGATCGTTTGGAGTTTGAGGCCAGCCTGGGCTACAAAGTGAGCTCAAGGCCAGCCTGAACTGTATAGTGAGACCCGTCTCAAAAAAAAAAAAAAAAAAAAAAAAAAAAAAGAGAAGGAAACTTTCATGCCTGATAGTCCTAGATCATGTTAATCCTTATTTTCTCTGGTTGTGCTAGAAACTCAGCTACCAGACAGTGAACTCCTGTGTCACATGAAAGTGACAGTCGTCTGTACACTGTCGCATAGTTCCTTGCCAGCGCACATTGGGTGGTTGGTGCAGTGGTGGGTGTGGGGTTGAGTCTCATCTCTGCTTCCCTGTAACAAGGCTTTCTCTTCTCACTGGCTTCCCATTACCAGCTAAGATGTGGCTCCATGACTCAGTTTCTGTTCCTCCTCCTCGTCCTTCTGTTCCTTTTCCTCCTTCTCGTTATCATCCCATTGTTACCCTATTATCTTGTTTGAAATTTTGTTTTATTTTTCTCTCTTTAAAATAAAAAAAAAGTTGAGGCTATGCATGAACTTGATGTGCCGTGTCTCCTGGGTCGTGGCACTGTGGTTGTGATGCTGTGGTTATATTTACCCTTTAGACTCAGTTGCTTCCCCTCCAGTCCGGGATGTGGGCATGAGTTCTCCAGCTCTGGTCCTCTCCAGCTCTTCTGCTCCTGGTTCAGACACGGCCATGATCACCAGGACAAATGGTAAATATGGGAAAAAAGGGTGAAGAGACAATGATGTAAAATTATTAATGCAGACAAGTCTTGGTTCTCTGTAAATATGTTACCTGAATTTAGAGATCGTTCTCTGCATGCTGCAAGGCTTATAGCCCCAATATTTGCATATTCTGTGGCTGCCTTTCTCGTTGTTTTGGTACCAGGAATTGAACTCAGGACGTTGCACTTACCAGGCAGGTGCTGTCCCACTGAGCTATATCCCCAGCCCTTGCAGCTCCTTTCTTGTCATTCTTCTTCCAGCAATTTTCCTACTGCTCTGTTTTTACATCATCCCTCTGTAGTGTATCCATTCTTGAATGTGCTCTTTGTATCTGCTTGTCTGTGTCTTTTCTACCCTGAAACCTACTATTATTTATTAATAAATTTACCCTGAACACTTCACTTTCCAATAATGCTAAAATTTGTCGTCTGGAAAGTTTATCGTTATCAGCTAATGTAAGAAAGATTATAAATCTGTAGAACCCAGAATATCTCTGTGGACTTTGCCCACCCTGTATTTTCAAATTTGTGCTGTCTTTCTTGGTCCTGGCCTTGATCACACTCTCTATTATTGTTTGAAGTGAGGATATCATCATGAATAACAGCAGTTTTTGTTTTGTTGTTGCTGTTTTTCTTTCAGAGCTGGGTTTGACTGTTTCTCCAGTAATGAAGGACCCTCCTAAGTTGGAGGGTGATGCTACCGATGGCTCCTTTGCCAACAAGCATGGTCGCCACGTCATAGGCCACGTTGATGATTATAGTGCTCTAAAACAGCAGATTGGGGAGGGCAAACTGCTGGTCCAAAAGATGCTGTCACTCATGAGGCCAGCATTCAGCATCCCTGGCCTGGAAGTGCAGGGCACAGAGGTAATCAGACCCTCAGCTCTCAGATGTGCTTTTTCCAGTTAGGTGCCCTTTCTTCCTCTGACTGTAATTCCTCCCATTATTTTTTCATACTGTACATCTCCCATCAGCTACAAAAGCATCTTCCATTTATTCTAGCCAGGGCCTTTCTTTTCTCTCTCCTATTTTCACTATAAGTTCTACTCTGTTGGAGATAAGGCTAACTGGATGTTTCTTCTCAGAGTCACAGAAAAGCCTGTGCAGCATTGTTACCATCCTCACTAGAGCATTTGTTAAGCATTTACGTATACATGCACTGTACTGCGCACCCTTTGGTAGCTTATCATCTGTTGGTCATGCTGGCGTATGGCCATCTGTGGGCAGATTAAAATCAACCAGATGGACAGATATTAAGGGAGCTGTATCTATATGGCCCTTATATGTGGAAAGGGTGAGAAACCTGGCAGCCATGAGACTTCCTTGTTCAGACTGAGTAGCAGCAGGGGAAGAAGTCAGCAAAGCTTCTCAGAGCCCTTCACTGTTGAGATGGACCAGGCACCAGTGACTGTGCTGTCCGTGCCACTGAGACCTGTCGATGCATAGGGACAGCGCTGGCTCCAAGGAGACTGCACTTAGAGGCAAGACACGGGTCAAGTCCATAAGAACAATAAGGGCCACAATCCCTGCAAGAGTCTTCCTCTGTGCTGAGAGTGCACCAGTGTAGGAGTGGTCTTTCATTGCAGACAAGGAGAGTAACAGGTTTGACGAGGCCATAACACAGGGATGAGTTGTGGAGCTTATAGGGTATCCAGGTGGAGGAGGGATTCCAAGTAATGGGAACCACGCTTTGGTCCTGGGACAACAGAGATAAGCCAGGGTTTCATAGGTTCAAGCAGAGCCGTGCTCTGTATCACTCACAAAGGAGCTTGAGCCCTGAGCTCTGGGTGAAATATGATATTTCAGTTTCAGTGATGTCCATAGCTTCCTACTCTGTTCTCCAGATGCTGGGCAGCAAAGGTGTCCACGAGCTGCGGAGCAACACCAGTGCCTTGCACCACATCCTGGAGGAGGCAGCATCCCTCCTCACCATGTTCTGGCGAGCGGCCTTACCAAGTACCCCTGGCCCTGTGCTGCCTGCCAAAGCGGTAAGAAGCCAATGTCTCCTGCTGGTTCAAACCCGGCAACTCTGGCCCTCGGATGGTTCTCTTCTCTTAGCCCCACAGCTTTCCTGAAGGTCAGGAACTATGTGGTGAGTCAAGGTTGACAGGACCTTAGGGGAGCGTACCAGAGGGAGACCATGGTGGCTGCTTCTCCTACCACCACACCACCCCTGGGATAAGAAATCATGGAGGAGAAGGAAAGGAAATGGAGAAGCAGAGATACATTTACCCTGGTTATCCCTAAATATCCAGTTGCTATAATCTGAAATCCAGCTGAGCTGAAAGTCAGGAAGCTTTTGAAGCTTCAACATCCTTTCTCCAACCCTCAGGTCCGCTTAGTGAAAAGGTCACAGAATGTCCCCATGAGTTTGTGAGTCTCTCTTAGCTACTCCCTAGAATCCCAACATATCTTCAAGCTTGCATCTCTGAACCAGGCCTGAGGAAAGCCGGCCACCCCTCAGGGTCTGCCAGGATCTCGGGCTGGTTCTGACTGGTAGACTCTTGGGTAGCAGATTTCAATGTACCCTTCCCCAGATTTTATTTTGAGATTACTACTACTGATATGAGATTCAACAATACTAACTTTAGGGAAGTGCATTACCTACTTCATGTTAGCATAAATATTTATAAATTTGCATGATCATCAGGGCAGCCCTGTCTCCCCAGATATAATCTTCCTAAGCTTCCAAGTCTCACCTGTGATGGGGCAGTGCTAGAGTTTATACAAAGACTGCACTTAAAGATTTATTTGCAGTTTGGTAGTTGTCTGAAGCTAAGGCTTCTTTGGCAGGAGTATAGACATGTGCTAATCGGCTTGTTTTAAGTTTCTCAATATTCCTACCAGTGGCCTTGTCCTCAGTGGTCCACAGCTGGGGTTCTGAGAGGTACATTAATAGAGGGAACACAGTCCAGAGAGTGTTGAGAAGACAGTGGAGTTCTGTTTTGGGTTGTAAATCCACAAAGCATGAGAGCCTGTCCCTCTTGTCCAGGGAGATGCAATGGAAAGAGAACTCACGGAACTTCGAGCCCAAGTGTCCAAACAAGAGCAGCTCCTTCAGAGCACAGCTGAGCGTCTGAAGACCGCCAACCAGCACAAGGAGAGCATGGAACAGTTCATCGTCAGCCAGTGTAGGTACCCCTGAGCTCAGGACACGAGGAAGGGGCTGGTGTTCCAGGTACTGCACATATGCTGCTCATGAACATAACCAGAGAGGCCCAGATGTCAGGAGAGGAGTGAAGGATGCAGCAGCCCCGACCCTCCTGTCTAGTCGTTGTGGGTGCAGAGAGAGTGAAGATGGGGTTGGCAAGAGCTCCTAGGCTGAGTGGCCAGAAGAAAATGCTTTCAAGTAGAACCTAGCTGGTAATTTTTGCCTTGTTTTCTTGTTTCAGTGACCCGGACCCATGATGTTTTGAAGAAGGCAAGGACGAATTTGGAGGTAAGGAAACAATTGTACCAGTCAAAGCCTGAGAACGTGCCCCCACTCTGTCGGAGTCTGTTGTCAGATTTGTGGGTGCTCCTGACCAGCTATGACCTTCCAGGAGGAGATTTCTAGTCCACTTGTAGGATCGCAAGTCCTCAATGAGCCTCCTCCAAGTTGCCAACCCATTGCTGTCCTGCTGCCCCTGAGCTATTTGTGCCCACCTCACGATCATCTGGTCACTTTACTGTTTCCCCTCCTTGCCACCAGTGTGCAGTCTGGAGAGGTACGATGCAGTTGGTCCTGAGGGCAGAGAGATCCCAGCTCTGTCTGTGCATTAGTTGTCTGTAAAGGGCTATCAAGGCCACTTCTGCATTATGATGTTCTCTAAATATAAGCAAGGTGCAACCTTACAGATTGATTTCACTGTACCCTATTAGGTTGAGAACTGCTGCTTGATTTTGACATGTTTTCCTTTAAAGAACATCAAGAAAGATCCACTGAGTCCCACTGAACAAAAGGACAGTGCCAGACATTCAGATGCTAAGAGCTGATTGTTCCCTAGGAATTACTTTGGAAAAAAGAACTGAATTTGAAATGTCTTAAAAATCAGAAACTAAACCATAAAACGTACACTTTAAACTTTCTTAATGTATTCAACGTATTCCTAGAATTGTTCCTAAATTATAACTTTAACGAGTGTTGACCTCCACAGTGAATATGGTTTGGGCAGTGATTTAAATCATATTTTTGTTTATTTTTCATTCCTTTCAGTTTTTCTCTGATGATCTCTTTCTTTCCTGAGCCTCTTTAGCACAACACTTACAAGACTGCCTCTGTACAGCCTTATTCCTGTCCCAGCAAAGGTAACCCAGCAGCCTCCCAGACTGCTGGCTCCCTCTGGTGTGGAAGCTTTCTTCACTACTTCCCTCATGCCCTGGGGAGGGCCAAGGCCTGGGCTCCAGTTCCAGGCTCGCCACTAATTGCTATGGCTGGCCTCTTAGTTTCTATGGCCCTCCTCATCTGTAAGAAGTGGAACTAGACTTAGGTGATCTGTGCTGATTTGACACTTCCTTATAACTGGGACATAAAAGAGACTTAGCCACAAAACATCCTCTCCCTCCTACAGCGGGCTGTTCAGACAAGTGCATGTTTCGTGCTCAGCGTTTGGTCTCGCAGAACATGGCAAAGGCTGATTTGTTTTTGGCTTCAGATCGTATGACTTGCAGCATGAACTGGGCCCTGAAGAGGGAGTGGTAGGATGTGGCTACACAGTGTACAATTCCTGGTCCCTGACCTGCAGTGATCTCAGCGCTCGGGGAGCTTTTCCTCTAACCTGGGGTCCCTCTACCTTCTCCAGACCCGGAGCACCCGCTCACCTCCACCATTCTCACCAACCTTCTGGCTTTGGGCGCCACTTAGCTCTCACTCAGCCTCAGGGCGCCCTCAGAAGAGACTGACAGTCCTCTCTGAAGAGCTTTTCTTTTGTTTTTGTTTTTTTTGTTTGTTTTGTTTTTTTTTTTATTTTTTTGTCTGCAGGTGAAATCCCTAAGGGCTCTGCTGTGCACTCCAGGCTTGTGACCCTTGCCTTCCAGGAGCCACACAAGAAGCGAAGCTACCAGAGGTCCTTAAAACAACAGGAAGAATGGGCCTGCCCCCCTTTGATGCAGCTGCCTATCTGTTGATGAGCACCTGGGCCTTATCCCTCCGGGCCTGCTAGAGGTCCAGAAGATGGGACAGAGATGTGTTCTTTTAGGACAATAGAAAAGAAGAATGGCTTCCTGGTAGCAACACATACTGGGCCCAGCCCTTAGCAAAACACCTAGATTGCATAGAGCCCATGACACTGCTTCTAAAAAGCCTCCTCCGCAAGGCATCTGCCACGGCATCTGCGTTTCACATCTCAGGAGCTGTCCTCAGACAGTCAACTCAGGGGAAGTAGGACCTTGCCTCCTGTGAAGGGGGCTGCGGCCCCAAGCTGCAGTCCTCAGGCAGCTCTAGAAGCACACTGCTGAGTAGCAATGCCCTGCTGGGCAGTGTTGCTGGGGGCTCAGCAAACCCTGCTCACAGATCCCAGGCTAGCTCTGCTGGGCCAAAGCTTAGGTCTACACCACCACACCTGCATATTCTGAGTCCAAATGGTGAATGTGGGACTTCCTGGATGCCCGCTCTTGCTTCTTCCATGCCTTCTGGTTTTTGCTTCTATAATCTCTGAATTGTATTGACCCCTTTTAAATAGGCTGTTCCATTTTGTCATTCTTACTTCTCTTGGGGGAATTAGGGATTGTTGGCAACACCAAGACTCTCCATTTTGTCTTGCCTATAGTAGGCCTGTGCTCATTTTTAAGTGGCATAGGTGTGCCTGAGCTGTACTGTATGAAGCCTAGTGTGTGTCTTCACCATCCTCATAGGATGTGGGTATGTGTGTATAAATGTACGATAGAGATTTATATATGTTGCTGTACCCATGTGGTGAAGGCCAACATAACTTGCAGAGCGGGTGGGTGAGAAGAAATGAAAGTCTTTTGGGTGGCTATTAAAGTAAAATGTGTATAAGGAATCAATTTTCATTGCCTGTTTTGCTTTTCATTTCTGCACGAATCCCCGGGATAAATGTAAAAGAAAAGAAAACTATCATTAAGAAACTCAAAGACTAATCCTTGAAGTCTAAGTTGAAAAGATTACATTTTTCCTTCTTCATCATTTTGTACAACTCTATAGTCTGAAAACAGGAAAGAGTGTTTTTCAAGCTGAAAATCAGCTGTGGACACATGGAGCTACATGCTGGGCTGCAGTCCCTGAGGCTCTAGTTAGGATGGGGTTCCAGAGTTCGCCACTTTCACAGAGCACTCAGATGACTCTGGTGTAGGAAGGCCATAGGTCGCAGATTTAAAAGTGTCATTCTACAACAACTGAATTCAAGCAATAAAGTTCAGAACCTTCTATTGAAAAGTATACAAGGCTTCCATAAACATTTAAATAAAATTTTTAAACAACTGCTTGAGAAAAATTCTTGGATTCTTTTCCCTTCCATAACTAAAATGTAGCTATCATTTAGCTATAGTTAAAAATAAAAACCCACGATGACAACTAGAACAAAAAAACTAATCGCTGTCACCACAGCTGCCACCACTGCTAGGAGCAATAACGACAGTCCAGGCAAAAGACCAGAGGATGCTAACTGTGTTTGATGCCCACTGTCTACTGTCACTGTACCCTCACTTTCTCTACACTTCCTAGATCACTAATCTGTGTAGTCTACTGTCCATGTGACCACATATTCTAGCTTGCACTGGTGACAGTGTGCAATATTTGCCTTTCTGTGTCTCACTCATTTAACTTAACTTACTGTCCTCATGTTTCATCTGTGCTGCTGAAAATCATAGGATATCAGCCTTTCATGGCTGAATAATCGAATATATATAATATATATAATCACATTTTAAGCCAGTCAGTTGATGCACACTTGGATTGAGTCCATATTAAAGTTATTGTGAATAGTGTTGTATCAGTCACTTTCCCTTCACCAAGACACAACACTCAACAACCACAGTGGAAGGAGGAGTCTATTTTGTCACATGATTTTAAGTGATTGGCGGGCTCCAAGGCAGAAGGACATGGTGGAAGAGTATGGCAAAGGAATGCTGTCCACCCCACGGCAGCCAGGAAGCAGAGGCAAGAAAAGAGCCCGGATGGAATCCACCCTTCTGGGTAATTCCCCCAATGCCCAGCCTCTTCCAGCCATGTCCCCCTCCTGTAGCACATGAACTACTGTACTCACCTAAGGCTGTATCCTCCAGTGAGTGTAAGTGCCCTCGTGATCCAGTCACTCTTCAAACATAGGAAACTTTTGAAGGACATTTTAGATCTAAATGTTAACAGTGCTGCAGTAGACATGGGCAGCCAGTTACCTCTTTGCTCTAGTGATTTTATTTTATTTGGCTAGATAGTGTATGAGTCAGAGAAATAGATTTAATACAAGATATACAAATATATAAGAATTTACAAGATTGGCTTTACAATGGCCATGCACAGAGTCAGGTGTGGAAAAGTACAAAAGGTCTGTCTGCATGCTGGAGATCCAAAGGATCCAGCCGAGTGCCTAGAGCTCACTGCAATGTCCCATGTGAGTCTGCATCAGGATGCCAAAGGGTCTGCACCAGAAGGCTGAAAGGTCCGTGCTGGAGGCTAACAGGTCTGTGCCAGAGGCTGAAGTGTTTACACTGGAAGCCAGAAGACATCCAGGGTGGAGGTGAAGACTGGAGCTCCTCCACAGAATCAGAAGAGAACTTTCTTTGTTTCCCTTTTATACCATCCTGGCAAGAATCATCCCTAGGGGGGGTCTTTCACACCCAGAACTATGCTGAACCAATCTAGTTTGGACTTTCTTATTCAAGTTGACACAATCAATTAACTGTCACAGATACACTGTAGTGGGATTGCTGAATCACCAAAAAATTCTATTTTTCAGTCTTTTGGGGGGATACTTCATAGTGTTTTCTGTGACTCCTTACTAATTTACAGTCCCACTAACGATGTTTCCTCCACATTCTTACTAGTATCTGCTATTTTTTGCTTTTCATTATAGCTATTCTAACTGGAGTAAGGTAATAGCTCATTATGATTTTGATTTGTTTTTCCCAGATGATTAGTGATATTGAACATTTTCATGTCTTTTGGGCCATTTGTATAACTTTTTAAAAGAATGTCCCTTCAGGCAGGCAGTTGTGCCACTGAGCTATATCCCTGGCCCAAAATGACCTTTTATTTTTTATTTATTTATTTTTCTGATACCAAAAATTGAATTCATGACCTCCTACTTGCTAGACAGGTACTGTGCTGCTGAGCTATATCTCTGGCCCAAATCACTTGCCTTTTTTTAAATCAGGTTTTATTATTCCTGTTTAATTCCATATTAACCCTTTCCCAGCTGAAGGGTTTGCAAAGATTTTTTCCTATTCTGCAGTTTGTCTCTTAACTCTTGATTGATTTCTTTGCTAGGAAGGAACTTCTTAGTTTGTCCATTTGTGCATTTGTTTCCTGTGTGTTTGGTGTCTTAACCAAAAAGTCTTTCCCTATCCTACTGTCTTGATGTGTTTCCTTGATGTTTTCTTTGACTACTATTATGTTTTGGTCTTATATTTAGATCCATGTTCCATTTTGAGGGGTTTTTTCACCAGTGATGGGTCTTACACCACTGAGGTCATCCATAGCTCTTGAGTTGATTTTTGTAGATGGTGATAGGTTGGTATGTACAGTCATTCATACATGTATACACATACACACAAACACACACTATATGTGTTATATATATATTTCCCCCAGCACCATTTATTGAAGAAACTTTTTTTCTAGAATATGTTTTGGAGTCTTTCTAGAAACTTCTGGTGTTTGTATAATATGGGTCAATATCTGGATTTTGTATTACATTCTATTAGCCTCTGTGTTTTTATGCTACTATCATATTGTTTTAATTTCTATACTTTTCAATATATTTTGAAATTAAGTAATATGATGCTTAGCTTTTTTCTTTTTCAATTCCTGCAAGACTGCTTTGGTTATTTGGGTCTTTTTTGGCTCCATATACATTTTTGATTGCTTTTCTCTAGTTGTGTGAAGAATATAATTGGCATCTTAATGAGGATTACAATGAATCTCCACGTCATATTAGATAGGATGGATATTTTAATATTTTTAATTTTTCCAATTCATAATCATGGAATGTCTTCCCCTGTGTGTGTGTGTGTGTGCCCTCTATAGTTTCTTTCATCAGTGTTTTATTCTTTTCATTGTAGAGATCTTTCATTTCTTTGGTTAAATGTATTACTAAGTATTTTCTGAGGATATTGTGGATGGAATTGCTTTTTAACTTACTTTTCCAATGAGTTTACTAGTGTGCAAAATAATGATTTTGTATGTTAAGTTAGTATCTTGAAAAGTTGGATCTGTTTTTTCATTAAAAGAGCTGTTTGGTGGTGTCTTCAGGTTTTTAAAAAATATATATAAGGTCATGTCATTTACACATGGGGATAATTTGACTTCTTCTGTCTTAGTCATTTTTCTCTTGTTGTTGAAACAAAATACCCAACACCCAAATTTAAAAGAGGAAAGGTTCACTTAGCTCACAGTTTGTGGAGGTTTCAGTCCATAATCAGCTGACTCCAAAGCAGGGTGGGATGACAGAGGCCACAGTTCATGGTAGCAAAGGGTACCGAAAGCAACGGGAGAGGACCAAGAGAAAAGGGGAGAAGCAAGCCTCTTTCTACCCTGTGATCTTTTTTTGTTTTGTTTTGTTTTTCTCCGGTACCGGGAACCAAACTCACGACCTTGCACATGCCAGGCAGGCGCTTTTGCCGCTGAGCTAAATCCCCAGCCCCTACCCTGTGATCTTATCCAAACTGTTGGGATTAGGGCGGTACTAATCCAATCACTGGACTGATCCAGCAGTCACTCACCCTTAATTCCAACACTGGACAATGAACCAGTCATAAACTCTAGATTCAACCTTCTCCAAAAAGCAACCCCCCGTGACGGCATGAGGCTTTGGGAGGACATCCAAACACAAACAATAACGTCCTCTTTTCCATTTGGACGTTCTTTCTTTCTTTTACCTAATTGCTCTGACAAAGACTTCTAGTACTGTGTTGAACAGGAGTGATAAAACTGGACATCCTTGTTTTCTTCCAGATCTTCCAGGAACTGCTTTCAGCTTTTCTCCATTCAGTGAGCATGATTTCATCAGTAGGTCTGTCATATACACTTGTATTGCATTGAGGTATATACCTTCTGTACTTAGTTTGTTGAAGATGTTCATCATAAGGGGATTTTGAATCTTATTGAATGTTTTTAACAATAGAGGTTATTGTATTGTTTTTGTGCGTCAATTGTGTCATGCGCTGTAATTGATTGCAGTTGATTTGCAGGTGTTGATCTATCCCTTCATCCTTGGAAAAATCCCACTTGATCATGGAGTATTGCTTTGTAGATTTTTGAGTGTGTGTGTGTTTGTGTGTGTGTGTGTGTGTGTGTGTATGATTGTATTCAGGTTTGCCCTATACAATAAGTTTGGCAGAGTTCCCACTTTTTCAAATTTTTATAAATTTTTAAAGATTGTATTAATTCTGCTTGAAATATTTTGTAGAATTCAGTAATCAAACTATCTTGTGCTGTGCTGTTGTCTGTTGGGAGACTTTACTGATTAAAACTCGCAGTTCATTATGGATCTGCTTAGATTTTCTATGTCCTTGTGGTTGTTTTAGTAGGTATCTATGTCAAGAAATGAATTCATCTGGTGTAGCTTTTCTCACTGGCTGAAGTGCAGTTGTTCATAATAGTCCCTAGTGGTCTTTTGTATTTCTGCAGTATCAGTTGTAATGTCTCAAAGATTCCCATTAGTCCTGTCATAGAACCTTGGGTCCCTGGAGTGGAAAGTGATCATGATGTCATTGGTCCCTTGAGCAGTGCTCATCCACCAACCACTGTGTGGAGTGGGAGGGGAGATGCAGTTGGTGCTCAGGATGTAGGCTGAAGATGGAGGAGCAGCCCTGGACATCATCAGTAGGGCTGTCTTATAAATAAGAGAAACAAATACTCCAGGCTGACTAGTTGTACTTAACAGTGGTCTTTTCCTGCCTTTATATTGTTTTGTTTTGTTTTGTTTTTTGTGGTACCAGGGATTGAACTCAGGACCTTGTGCGTGCCAGGCAGGTGCTTATGCCACTGAGCTATATCCCCAGCCCCTCAGCCTTTATATTCTGACTGGAACAATGTATTGTTTGGCTTTCCTGTGTCTCTAGCTATTTCATCTGGGAAATTTCCATCTCCATAATCTCCTGAATGAATTCCTTACTGTATACTTCCATTCTGTTCCTCTACAAATCCTGACATAGAGTGGGTGTTATTTCAAAAATACCCAAGAATGTGGCAGTACCATTGAAGCTGGGTAACGGGGAGAAACTGGAAGAATTCTTCAGTTGTAAGCTAGAAATATGTGCAATG